CTTACTGTACGTCACAGCATTTTGGAACCAATCCAAAAATCTGATTAAATATAAATACCCCGACTTTATCGCAGACTTGAATGGAGTTTATTCTCCATCAAAGTAAATCAGCATTATGAACGTGTATGTTGCGTACCTGCTTGGAGGAGCTCTGTCCTAAACAGTGTTGGGCAAGTTACTTCCAAAATGTAATACATTGCATATTACTGTCTTTTTTTTTGTTTTTTATATTACTTTTGAGTTACTTTCACCAAAATAACCGAAAAAGAATGGCTAGGTATTTTAAATGCTGAAATGTAGTTTAGTGCAGCTCATTATACATCCAGTGAAGGGCCATGTGGTGTAGCATAACAACTGTGTAGGCCCTTAAGGCTACTAACAACTTGTATTACACGGCTTAGTTGAATACTCGATTCTGATTGTAAATTCTTAACATGTGACACGTTGTTAATACAGCAGTACAGACCGCTGTCAAGGACTATAATGAAGGTTGCTAAGGAGGATCCAGAAAGAGAAAGGAAAAGAGGTTAAAAGACGGAGCGCTGGACGTCAGATAAATCACCAGAAGAAGGCAGACAGGAAGTAAACACTAACAGGACACGGAATGGGCTCTGTAGTTTGTTTAGTATATGGCCGTGTACAGGCCCGGGTCCAGAACAAAATGACTCAGGGTGCCTCTGAGATTACAGGGGGCGCAGCAGCAGTAGGTTTACATGAGCAATAGTGGCCGGCAACAGCAATGAGAAATAGCATTGATGGTCCCCAATGAACAGATTATGGCATTTGTTATGTTTTGAAACCAAGCAAGTGAGAACATTTCAAGTGAGTTAAAAGTGCAATCCTGAAATATTTCATATAGTCCAAAGTGGACTATGGCAAAGAAAAGCACAAAAGCTTCAAAACTGTACTGATAAAACAAATGAGAACATATTGTAAATCAAGGCAAATATTATTTGAACCAGCTCATGGTTTGAAATGGCAAACATTGAAAAGCAAAAGTATTATTAAAACCATGCACTACATCATCACCTTGGTCCCATCATATACTCTGGGAAGAGAATATTTACTGTGCTTGAAAACTGGTATCACATCATCATGTGAGGTTGACTTTGTGACCTGGAGAACATTTCAGCTGCAACATTAGCTTGTTGATAAGCTTGGGATATGAGATATTTTTGTTGCCATTCGTGGTGAAGGCATCTGTGGTTTTGTATGCATTATTTTTGACCGAACATTTCTACAGGCATGGCAGAATATGGCACTATTTTCACATGAATATTCCATTGTCTATTTGTATACCACGAGCTGCAAAATGACCGCCTAACCCCACTGTACAGGCGGGTACTTGTTTAGATATACCTGGGCAGGCTCTGTTTTGCCCTGATATCCTGGCACCTGCGGGCCACAGAGAGGCGGCGTAGTTTCGGGCGACGAAGACTGCCCACAACGGAGGGTAACGTGATGTCCCCATCTTACCTGTTGCCACTGTCTGCAGTAGATGCAGTGTTGCTGGTGTTTAGTGATGGTTGCTTTAACCATTTTTGTATCAATGATTATCCACAGACAGTGTTGGGTGTAACGCGTTACAAAAGTAACGGAGTTACAGTAATATATTACTTTTTGCTGTAACGAAGTAATGTAACCGTTACTTTTGTAACGCGTTACACCCAACACTGTCTGTGGATAATCATTGATACNGTTTGCGGGTCGGAGGGGTCGAAGTCTTCTTCGAGGGACAGTCGGAGGCAGTCGACGACGGACCTGAGCAGAGTACAGGGAGAAAGTAATGAAGACGAAAGAAGGAAGAACCAGACCTGGTCGTCCTTCACACTCAATGTACAGTCAACTCCCAGAACCCGTCGAAGAAGGAGAGACCAGACAATCAGTTGTACACCAGGTCTTGACGTCGTCACTAGGTCGTCTTCTGACCCTAGTCTGTGTACTACACCTCCGAGGACCTCGAGAACTACACTCTCTTACTAAGAACGACCCTGTCCAGAAGTAGTGAGGTAAGAGAGGAACTTCATGAGTGAGGAAGACCCGCAGTAGTCACTTCCGGGAGCATGAAGACAGTGGGACAGGTGTGTGAAGTCCTCCCTAGACTAAACCGGCGACGTCCAGACCTTCAATAGGTCTGCTCTCGGCTCCCTTCGTCGAAGGGGACTACTCCAAACAGTCGTCGTGCAACTGACTCCTGACGACTCTCTGTAGTCTGTGGTTGAAGTAACAAAGACTTCAGGTCTCTTCTCAGACGAAAGTAGGGTCGCGCAGTTTTCTACTCGTTCGTGAAAACGTCTGTCGGTCGACCGACGACGACACTCGAAGACATTCCAACCTACCTTTTGTAAACCTCGTTGTACCTCGTCGGACTCTTCTGACATTGACGAGTGGAAACTAGTCCAAGTCGAGGGACTTCTCTCGCCCTAGTGGTCTTGACTGCAGAACCAAAGGGTTTGGGAGCCGGTCAGGTCTCACTTGTAGGACGTGACTCTTCGAAAAAGGTTTGAGGGTCGCTTGAGGCACCAGTCCTTGCGAGACTACTCTCAGACAACCAGTCCCCATTGCCGAAATTTTCTACAAAGGACCGTGAACTAACCTCACAAGTACCTCCAGAGGAAGAACCTTCGACAGAGGTCGACGGGAGTGGAAGTACAACCCATAACTTTGGAGAAGTGAAGACCGGAACCACTACAAGAAGTAGTACTTTTATTCTTCGAGTCACTTCTACCGGACAACCCTCCTCCCGCAAAGTGAAGACTAACCCTAGTAACTATTAATAGAGAGTGTAAGGTTTGAACATCTGAAGAAAGGAGACATCATGTTCTACCAAGAAGACCTGCAGCGCTGTGGTCTTGATCTCACCGAGGCCTTGGTGCACTCAGGAGTTTGTACACAGATCTTCAAAAGAGAGAGTGTGATCTTCAGGAAAACAGTCTACTGCTTTGTTCATCTGAGCATTCAGGAGTTCCTGGCTGCAGTCTACATGCTGCACTGTTACACCATCAGAGACACAGAGGTACTGAAGGGCTTCCTGAAGAGAGACTGGCCCTATGAGAACAGTAACAGCAGAGATCAGGAGTACCCATCCCTGGATGTCTTCCTAAAAGGAGCCATGGCGAAATCCCTCAGAAGTAGAAATGGCCACCTGGACCTGTTTGTCCGCTTTCTCCACGGCCTCTCTCTGGAGTCCAACCAGAGGCTGTTAGGAGGCCTGCTGGGTCGCACAGACAACAGACCAGAAACCATCCAGAGAGCCATCAGCAACCTGAAGAGATGAGAGTGATGATATCTCTCCTGACAGGAGCATCAACATCTTCCACTGTCTGACAGAGATGAAGGACCTCTCAGTACATCAGCAGATCACAGAGTTCCTGAAGTCAGGGAACAGATCAAAGGAACTCTCTGTGATCCACTGCTCTGCTCTCGCCTACATGCTGCAGATGTCAGAGGAGGTTCTGGATGAGTTTGACCTGAGTCAGTACAACACATCAGATGAGGGGAAACGGAGACTGATTCCAGCTGTGAGGAACTGCAGGAAGGCCAGGTGAGTCCAGATGTGATTCACTTTATAAACTGATGTGGATCAGGAGTTTAATTATTCAAATAAACACGATAACATTTCTGCAGTTTAAATACTGAGAGGCGACATGTCAAACACATGAAGGACTTTAGAGGTTCATCAGCATGTGATCACACCACACAGCAGGACTTACATTTATCAGTTATTATCAGTGTTGGGTGTAACGCGTTACAAAATTAACAGAGTTACAGTAATATATTACTTTTTGCTGTAACTAAGTAATGTAACGCATTACTAATGAAATGTGGGTAATATATGACCCGTCAAACGCCAGCAACACTGCATCTACTGCAGACAGTAGCAACAGGTCAGATGGGGACATCACGTTACCCTCCGTTGTGGACACTAGCTTACTCCCGCCTGACTCGCCGCCCTCGCCCCCGGAGCAGCAGTCTTNGGGCAGAGAGAAAATATAATTAAAAAAATGTTTCACATTCATGGGTCTTTTTCAGCCATTATGAAAAACATGTTGACAATACACTGTAGAAAACTGCAGAATACAACATTTCTACAACATCTTAGAGAACTTCTGAAAAACTTAAGTTAGTGCAAAATCTACAGCTCGACCATGCTACACATGTTAGTGCAAAATCTACAGCTCCTCTACCACAACCATCAGCAACAAGTGGACATGAAGAATTACATGAACTACATTTTGCTAAATCTACCGCCGGGCATAAACAGAAGGGCAACCATGGCAACCATGCTCGGGGGTCTTTTGGTGTATTTTGTGGCAAAAGTACAGCGCCACTTACAGGCCCGGCATATGTACTACAGTGTCTCCAGCGCTTACGAGCGTCTCGCTTGTCCAGTGGTCTCGTGTGAACGGACACGTTAAATGAGTCGAATGCGTGTGAACGGAAGACTTTTTTGATAAAGAATTCGGTCCGTTTGCGCTACCGGGTAAATGGGGTCTTACTCGTACAATAAAGGCAAGAAATATAAAAAAACACCTACAATTGATAGGGTAAGTAAGGAAAAAGAGGAATTAAGCAGCTGCATTGGTGAAGCCTCCCCTGTAGTCTGACCATGAACAAGACAACAGAAAGACAAAAGAGATGGGGGGTACAGCTGAGGTGAATGGGTTGATAAGAGAGGATATGGAGGTGGAGGTAAAAGCGAGGATTGTGTAGAGAAGGGGGACAGTAAGGGAGAAGGGAGGAAAGGCAGAGATAGGCAGTATGGGTCGGGATGGAAGAAGCTTTTTCCTCCACAAAAGCCCAACTGTCTCTCAGGGACAGTACAGGACTCTCCATTCACACCCCCTTATCAGCAGGCCGCTCCCAATCAACTCTCAGCCTCTTGAAGGTCAGATCAGATTACCCAATCACACATCTTCTAAATCCACTTTGCCCCAGTTAAGATGTGTGTAAAGATATCAGACAAACGATCCAGCACAGCAACAGATGTAGACATTGTTTCACGTTCCCAGAGCACTGCCGCTCAACTGTTGCTTAATCCCCATGAGGGGCTGCTCCGAAAAGTGTGGAAAGTCCTGTGGTCCTGTTAAAGGGCCAAGTGGAACTTTTATACAGTGGCTACTTAAGTAAGTGCAAGTGAATACAGCATCAGCAGAGGTGGAAGAAGTATTCAGATGCTTTACTTGGGTAAAAGTACCAATACATTATGTCAAAATACTTAAATACAAGTAACAGTCCTGCAACCAACATCTTACTCAAGTAAAAGTACACAAGTATTATCAGCAAAATGTACTTAAAGTATAAAAAGTGAAGGTTATCATAGTGCAGAAAAATGGCCTTTATGTGTGTATATAATTATATTGATATACTGTATGTAACATTTCTAGATAATATTGTTGCATCAAGTAGCATTTGACTGTTTTTGTGAAATATTTAAATAATTTGATTCTTGTGACTTATTTTTAGAGCTGTAATTTCTTAGAAGTATCTTAAGCTGTTTAATTAATGTAGTGGAGTCAAATGACATTTTTCTCACTTTTAAATGTAGTGGAGTATAAAGTAGCATTAAATGGAAATACAAGTACCTCAAAACTTTATTTAAGTACAGTACTTGAGTATATCTACTTCCCACCTCTGAGCAGCGGAGATGACTAAAGGTGAGGAACAAAGTTGGTTTTGGCGCTCAGAGGAAGTGTAGACTCAATCAATATGAGTCAAGCATCTTAAGTATTACTCACACCGGGATTCATTAAAAAACGTAATAACAGACTGCCTGAGGGCTCTGCAGCAGATGTATTGCCTCTGATAGTGAACATATGAATTCTATAAACGGCAGCCACCAAAGCTGTGTTTATGGAGGCAGACCTTCAGCAGACAAAGACAGGTCTCTTCTTGACCAGCCAGGACACACACGATCATCTTCTGGAGCCCAGAGGAGCCGGAGCAGCATATTGCAAAGAGCTGACAGTCAGCAAGGCTAATGCTCCGCAACTATGAGGGCCTTGTTTTGGAAGTATCACTTAATAAAGTGCTATGAAACTGGAGGAGAGGAGGGGGAGACAGACAGAGAGGGAGAGCACTGGGCTAGTTGAACCCTGCCCCGCTGATCACTGCGCCCAGCCATCCGAGCAGACTGGCTTCACAGTCAAGGAGGCACTGCTGCATTTAGTTTTAGATGCAATATGTATCATCGTTTTGTGTATTTTAAATATTGTTTTCGATAAAATACATTTATTTATTTCTAAGGCCTTCTTCTCTTTAGTGTACCACTGTATTGCTTTGTTGGCCACTTATTGTTTTTAGTTGATGGCAGCTGTGTAGCACTATCACCAAAGCAATAGAAATGTCCTTGGGGACCAAAAAACCTTATTTAAAGAATCTAAAATCTTTCACACATGTAGCGAAAAACACTTAGGTTTGTAATGTTCATTGTTTGGTCTTCTCACTTGTTTTTAACGCAAAAAGATTTAGAATTCTGTTGCTTCACTTTTTTTCTCATGTGATGTTTTAAAGAGTAAAAAATAAATAAAAGTACTCGTGAAAAGTTACGAAAAACCAGACGCAGTAACCCTGTGTGCCATCTTGAGGTAGGAAAAGTAATAGCTTTTGAAGTTTGATAGCAGGCGGGTCGTCATAATTACAGCCTTTTATATTCATATTATTTTGACGTGTTATTTTAGTCTATCATAATTCTTGTTCCAGTTAAGTGTGACTCTTGGACAGTGACGAAACAGCCGTCCTTTTTGGACAATATTATGCTTTTTGAAAGTGATTGAGTGAGTGAGCTATAACCCACTTTCATGGGGTTTGTTACTTCCAGCAGTGACACCAAGCAGTAGCTGCTGAACACATTATTGTAATTGAATCATGTGCATTAGTGACTGATTGTAGGAGTAGAGAGAGATGGTGTAACAGAGACAGCCTAAAGGTAAAGGTCTCTCACCTTTGGTCCTGCCTGTATTATTAGCGTTACAGGTGTAGAGTTCCAGGCTGAACTTGAGAGGAGCGTATTCTCCACCGGTATCGATCTTTGGCAGGGAAACCTGACACAGGACAGAGACAATACAACTTTTGACATTTTAGAAATACTGTCAAGGACAAAACACTATTTTAAACAACGTTAGGAACTATGCTTTAGCAACAACACAAATAAACACAGATGGAAATAGATAAAAAATATAGCGTATATATAAGTAGGAATTACTGTTGAAATCAAATGTTCAAGACAGTAGATTGCAAGATTCTTAACCTTCGTTGAATTTCATATCGGAAGAATCAATTTCTGCCAGAATTAGTAGACACAATGGTCATCGGTTTCATATATCAATGTCTATTCAGCTTTATTTTTAGATTTGGAAACTTGGAAATGTTTTTATTGCACCCTCCCTCCCTGCAGTACCTTAAACAGAGGCTTCCATGTCCGGTCCAGATGTTTGAAAGTCTCAGGGACACCGTAGGAAGTCTTCTGATCGGCATTCTGCTTCCTGTCCGACCCTGACTGGCTCAACAGTTTTGTCACTCGCACATCCCAGAACATTAAAGTACTTTAAAGGGAGACAAATGAAACATTAACTTTATTTAAGTATACTTGAATCCTATTGTTTATACACACTGTGAATACTAACTGATATGGACTCAACCACTTTAACACAAATCTATGGACATTACCTGGTCTTCCATATATGCTTGCTGTGTTCATTTTCTTACATTTAAAGTGAACATTTTCTTTTACCTACCAGTCTGGGGAGCAGGTGACGACCTGAACAGATACGTTGTTCTTGTTCTCCACTGGTAAGCCCAACTTGGTCACCTAATCAGTAAGAGAGTCGCAAAATCAAGAAAGTGTCTGTCAGGCTTAGTGAGAGCTGATTATAGTGAAAGAAAAAAGGTTGCAGAAGATATATGGGAGCTTAATGTGACCCCAGGGGCACTTTGATGATTGCCTTATTTTACTTATCCACACGAGTGCCAGTGCTTGTCATGATTTATGATGTAGACACGAGGGACAGACACCAGTGGGAAACCAACATTAATTGTTTCATAGAGAAAACTCAAGCAACATGCTGAGGTTCTGGGAACTGTGATAATGTATAGAATCTGTGTGAGACCACTTAGCTCATTGTTGTTGCATGTGGCTGCAACTATTATCTTTCAGTGTTGTTACTGCACTTCTTTGCGCTGGGTTACAGACCAAACCCCATCGAGTCACTGCAGCAAGTTAATCAATATATTGTTAGCTGTGCAGTAAAATACATTCTATGTTATTATATGCTAAATGTTGTGGCAGTGGTGCATTGGAGCAATGATAGTTCTCTCCCACAGTGTTCTCCTTGCATACTCCTCTGTTGAACCTTTACATTTCTATCATTATATCCTCCATATGTTGAATGATTGGCCTCTCAGTCTTTTGGCTGCCCTAATACTCCTCTGTGTCCACTATGTTCTTACCTCCTGTTCCAATTGTTTGCATTCAAGCGGCTTTTAGCCTTAGTCAGATAAAACTCTGTCAATATTTTAAAACTAGATATATAAATCATTAGAGCAATGGCAAACCTGGATCTCTAAGTGTTTCATGTTTATTTAGCAATTGAAGACTTAGGTTGGAAGGATTCAAATGTACTCCTTTTCTGTGTTGGAAACAATGTCCCATGTTGGCTTAAGATATGATAAAAGAAGCTAGAGATTAGGAAAACATAAAGGAATATTTAGCTGTGTAGTCACACCAAACATATTTTCATAATCAACATAACATACATACTAATGAACCCCAGTGGAAGGTTCCAACACCTACCCACAGCAGTCATGTTTTAAAATCCCAAGAAATAACTTGTGATCTTGTATTCTGCATATTGGATTTTAAGTTGTTGTTTCTTCCCACCCTTCTGCACTTCAACTCTGCGTACCTCAAATGTTGGTGGCAGCCACTGGACATCAGTAATTGGCGCTTTGTGGCTGCTCTCTAATGCAGACACAGCACAGTAGCGCACAACAGGTGTCTTATTCTCTTTGTTGTCATCGAGGTCCTGGTGGCACGTCAGACACAAAAGGCACAGCATGTACAGTGAGCTCGGACAATTCAATCTAAATGCAAAGGCCTTTGACAAGCAGTCAGGCCATACCAAAATCGTGCAAAAGGAAAGTATGCATCACAAATTATGATTGGACAATTTGAATTGTTATTTTCTGGATTTAACAGCTTTTCTAGTTCAGTTCTTGTCAGCTGATATCATTCACATTCACTGTAACACAAAATAAAATGGGACACACTAATAATGTTGACATTTACAAGTGTGAAATGGTCTATACTGGAAAAATGAAACTCTAAATACTGTCACTATAATATTAAAACAGGCATAGACTTTGGAACAACGGTTGTTTTCTTCAGTAACACTGTGCAGCGCTCATGCAGTTAAAAGTGAATGGTGTGAACAGAACAGAAATCTATACAGGAGGATTGTAATTCTTCGTTTATCTGATAAGCTAGCAACAGGTGCTGCTGTGGCGCAGCTTTCACAGCACCCAACATGGACATAAAGCCTTTTCAGCAGATACAACTGCCATTGTTTACAGTGCAAACACAAGGGAGCGCAGTGATCTGATTTGCTTGTGTGTTATCTTCTATGTGGGCAGACTATGGTGGAGGATGGAAAGGCCTGTGTAACAGCTGGAGTATGTGAGCTGATGCTGTTGACTTTAGGGAATGAAGAGCAAACAAAGACAAAGAGAATAGAGGGAGAGGTGGGAGAGGGTAAAGCAACAGAGAGGGACGTAGTGAGGAAAGGGATGGAGACAGCTGTTCCACTGTAGAGGCAATAAACAAACACAAAGCAAATGATGGCTGGATGATAGGGGCCGATATGCCTATTTAAGTACTGCAGCCGAGTGGAAGATGTCAGTGAAGGTCAGTCTTTAAGGGACATAACTGGCTTCCCATGTGGTGTCCGCACGCCTAGCGTTAATCTCCATGCTATGTTGTTGGCTAAAACCGAGCCCTGTTTTTGTCACGTATTATTATCTCTCCATTTCCCTACCTATCTGTATCACTCTACATAAAAATATCTAAACAGGGCCGCTTAGAAATAATAATTTATTATGACGTTTAGTCAAAAGAAAAAACATTTTGGACGTTTTTGTCCCTAGTCAAAAGGTGTTTGATCACTTCAATCTGTCTGTGGTGCTTCTATGAGGCCTAATAAGCTGATTTCGTTTAGCAGTAGGGTCATGTAAGGATATAAACTTGCTTTCTGATGTACTCCTGGCATTAGTACGTATGCAGAACTAGTTTTGACAGCTGGGACTGGCTTGAAAAGGACCATTAGGCCACTGCATTCCCTTCTAATGAAAGAGTGAGGATGAGGGGAGAACTCAGGAGTCACCGTATCATCATCTCACTCTGTCATACAGCACAGCCTGTCTTTAAAGCAGATCTGCTGCATGCTTTGATAAACTGAGGGCACAAACTTGAATAAACCAAGCTAACATCATCGGCAGCCATAGAATTATAGTAACTGATACCACATGTAGTACACCAACACAGAACATCATGTATTATTGTATCAACATTATGCACATTAGAGAAAGTAAATAGGTACTTACGAATGTGTCAGTGTTGAGTGAAGCCTTTTTGCCTGGCTGTGTTCCCTGTAGGTGTATGACGTGAGCAGAAATGTCCCACAACACCACCTGAGACAGCAGCAACACAAAATCAGTAACTGGAGATCAGAGCCAAGTGCAGAATACACTTCTTGTGTAAATAAACACAATACATTGGTTTACATTTTGATTAAAACAAGGGAACAGTACATTGGATCTGTACAGGATATGCTTGTCAGGACTGAGGGTCTATTTCATAATTTGCACTTGTATTGAAAAATTGAAAAGTGGCAAGTTACAAAAGCTACTTCAAGGCAGCAGATGCAGCAAACCACAGATGGATAGCAGAGTCAAAGTCAGCACCTGGCCATTCACGCAGCCGCCAACGATAATATTTGGATCAGAGGGGCAGAACTCAAAGGCAAAAATGTCATCTGGGCACTCCAGCAGCAACTGCAAACACAAAGAAACCCACGGACAGGGCAGAAATATTATATTTCAGAGTAGACATTTCCATGTATTGGGTGCTTTCCATCCCAAATGTTTATTTATTCCAGTCTCCCCACTTAGAGTTTGACTTTTAATCCACAAAACCGAGTGCATACAGTATTCCATTTCATCAGGCATAAGAGGGAAAGGATCCAGGAGGAATAGGATGGTATTACAGAGAGGTTTTCCATTTTCCAGCAGTATGTTTGAATCTCCTGCAGTTAAAAAATAGCTTAACAATAGCACTCCACACACTAACTTAATATATGTATTTCATTCTTATAGAGTCTCCAGTTTATTCTACACAGTACCCTTTGTCATTTTGATCACTGCTCCAGTAGACGGTGAAACTAAAGCATGACACATGAAGAGGTGAAGGGCTACGTCATGCAGAACTCATATTACTTTTGAGTGATTAAGCAGCTCAGTTTTATTGATTGAGTGCCTGGGGCAAATCAATAGGGCCTCTCAAATGTTTGCTTAAGCAAATAAAAGGATTGAATGACAGGAGAAAGCAGATCCTTCCTGCCATATATTATCACAGTGCGTCAAACAGACATGAGGTGAGAACTAGCTTGTGAGCTGTCAACGAGAGATAGAAATAGGCTGTATTCAATCTATTCTTCCACCTGTACACTATCCACCATCATTTACAATTTCCATACCTGGGGATTAGACGGGTCGGAGAAACTATAGAAGACAATGTGAGACGCTCCGACTTCGAACGCTGAGGACTCATCCATTACCTCCTCCTTCTTTTTTTCTGTCAAAGCCACAGCTAGCACACCTAATACATGAACAAATAATCATACATGCTTCAACACAGCAGAAGGAGGAAAACATAATGTAGTGTTTTAACCTTCCTAATTGACAAATCATTGGCTCAACTCTGATCTCTCTTTTGAATAACATGTTTTTGCTCTGATCACATGATTTGGCACTGATATTATTATTGTGGTCTTGCTGAAGGCTTACTCTCTGAGTGATGACAGCCAGACAACAGCACAAAGCAGGAGTGAAAAAGATGAATGCTTTTACAATGGATGGGTATTTGAAATACTTGTACTTGTCATTGACAGTGACATTAAATGGAGAATGTGTCCATCAAAGTATCAGTCGTTTAAACCGATGATTTAAAACTATTTTTTTTCTGCAAGAACTGCCAGGAAAGTCATTTTGTCAATATTTATGTGTGAGAAGATTTCTATTCAAAGCTATTTGACCACTACACTCCCTGTTTGCTCTTTACCGTAGATGGTAGGGTGCCAGTTTATGCTGCTGATCTTCTTGTCCTTGGTGTACTTCTGGTCTGTGAAGGCCTGATAGAGCATCAAACCTTCAGAAATCTTCCCCGACCAGTCAGCATCATCACCTGCTGTCCCCAGGGCCTTCCAGTCATCGAAGAACACATTCATGATTTCCTCCTGCTGTAGGGCTTGCAAAACTCTGCAAAACAATATTTTAAAGTAAAACTTCTATTGGCTAAATGTGTAAATATGTTACATTTTGTAATCTTTTCATAACTACAGTACAATGTTTCTAACAGGCCAGATGTTCTCTTATCTTTTACCAGGACACAGAGAAGGGTGGAAGGTCATGTTTGGTTACCTACACTCAAAGTACACTCACTGGGAAGGTTAAGGTACTTCCTTTGAACAGTGTAATGCTCCCATCATGGTAATTAGACTCCCACTAATGTATGAGTTTGGAGTGACTATCCATTTTTGTACACAAAGAAGACACCATGATTTTCATCTTACCTGGGGGTCACGGAGTTGCAGAAATGCTTCAGATTCTCACGCTGGTGGATGTTCTCCTTATCTCCATCGCTTAACTCTCTTGGCGTGTACTGAGTAAAGATATTCCTCTTAAACTTCCTGTAAGGTGTGCAAAAATAACGATACAATATGTGAAGGTGGAGGTACTATTAAAGGTAATAAAGAGAGAAAAGAACATGAAAGGCTAATGCTATTTCATGAATGCGTCAGCTATATCATCTGAACCACCTGAGTATAAAGCTTATAGGCACGAGTTCCAGAAAAATAAAAGTCACACAAAGGCTTTTTATACAGCGTTCAGTGTTAAAAACGTATGTTCTAAATCCAGAAGGTGTTGGCAGATACTGTTAGTCCTTTCCCCCTGCAGAACAAATCCATTTTATGTGTACTGATTTTCTGGCATACCACTGAGTCTGAGAACTGCTGCTCTGCATTCTGGGAACAGCCTGCATCCCGCAGTCCCTCTGCATCTGTTTGATTCTGAATCTGCTGTCTTGGAAGGGAACACACTCCATGTAGGCATCAATGTTACGCTCAGAAAAACAGACTGGAGCGCCAAACTTCCTCCTCACTCTGGAGAACTTGTACCACAGCTGAAGACAAAAATAAACCCAATAGAGATGTGTAATGGAAGTAAGAAAGTAAACCTGATTTCAAATGCTTTCAAAAGCTGCAGTACCTTTTCCCTGCTCTCTTTGAAAGATTCCTCATCTATTTCCTGCTCACTACCAAGGGATATCCATGGCTTCGGTTCTGATCTTCCAGTTTTATTAACTTCATTCTCACAAACCTCTGGTGCCTCAGGCTGTGGGGGCTGCAGAGAAAATTACAATTTGACAAAGTATTAAGAACAGGTAACACACTATAATAAAAGCCGATAGCTAAATGTGAAATCTGCCCACATGATCACACTTTCTACAACAATATTTGAGCTAGAGCAAGATAGGGAAGTAGGTATTGAATTCCTTTTGGTTTAGTCGACCATTGAAAATATGCCAGCTGTGAAGGCCAAATGGGCCGCTGATAGCAGCCATTGCTCATTGCGATAAGTGATAAAGTAGTGTACATAACTAAAGTATAAAAGGAGAGTAAATGACACAGAACAATACTGGATTGAAATAAATAGTGGCGCCACTCCTGTGCTTATGTTCATGATAAATGGCTAAGGCATTTATTCTCATTATAAGGAAGATAACATATTTAGTCAGTAGTTTACCTACTGCACCACTTCTCAAACACACAGTAGTAGACAGTGTATTACTAAGAACAAAAGGAATAGGTGAACCTCGTTACTAAACCACAGTTTGCTTACATTGAGGATTCTGTCTTTGGCTTCTGGAGTCAGAACCAGGTAGAATAATTGGTCATAGGTGAAGTCCCTGTCAAACACCAGCAGGAGCTCATCCTCTGGGTAATCCTGTCAGGTAGAAGAGTTTGAATTCACAACAAGCAGCTATTTTCACAACAATGTTTCTTTAGAATGAATCAATGTGGTGTCTTGAATTGATTGGGGTCAGTTTTGACAGCAGTAAGACAGAGAGAAAGAACAACACTTACATCCCTTAAAGGTAAGGCATTAACTGTGTCCCAAACCAGAAAGCTGACATTACTTTACACTTAAACAGATGGCTGGTGAATACGTTTATGTACTTGCGCCGCTTTCCCCTTCTACTCAAGTAAGACTCAGATGAGGGTGTTGCACGTTTCCTTGTTCATGTGACGTTTTGGTGTTGTTTTTTTGGTTTTGTCTAGTGGGAACTAAGTAATTTGTGTGTGTTTTTGTGTTTCTCTTATTTTCCTACGATACTGTAATGATTGGTTGTGAATAAGAAAATACGAAGGACAGACCATCTATTTCTATTTCTTTTTTTATTGTGAGAAAGGGGCAGGTTATATAAGATGATGTCCTTCTCCCTGCTCCTTTTCAGACATGGTGTGTTTACAGAGAGAGAGAGTTTTGTAAATAATTGTTATACATTGAGTTTGTGCATACCACATTAACGGAACAAATACAAAATGAAAAATGAAAGGGTAGTGTCCTCTTGGGTTTTCTCTCTGTTCTCAATTGAGTAATATTCAGAGTAAGAGTGGTAGACACCATGTATTTAATCTTGATCAAAAACATAGGGGAAACGAGGTAAAACGTGTTACTCGGTTACTCTGTTCCCACAGCCCTTGCGTCGGGGTCTATGTATCATCACAGTGTCTGCTGGGTATTGTCTGAGTAATCTGTATGACAATGGATCAGTCTCACCAGCACAATCTGCTTCGCAGGGCTGAAATCGGACACTGCGGCTCTTGTCTTAAGGTCCTGTATGATGTCTTCTTTTTTTAGCAGCTTGTAAGGGCTCTCCCCTGTGACGTCCTCATCCGCACGGCAACCAAAGAGCTCCTGGGTGGCTGATGTCAGGACCATGGGGAGGATATCATCAGGGTGACCTTTGGGAGAAGGGTCATAATCAACATAGGCAGGAGAGATGGTAGACAATGGAAATCATGTTCAAATCAACTACAGGAGATCATATTCTAAATCACATCATGTTTTGGGATTGAATTGATTGATACATAATCTGTATTCAAATCATTTGCATAACAACCACATACAGTAAAGAGTATAAAGTCTCATTAAAATACATAAAATCATAAAGAGTGTTTTTGTCAGATGCAAGTATATTTGATGCTCTCGAAAGTGTTGAAAATGATAATAAGCATCGTAGTGTTTGATGTTGTATGCCGGGTGTAGGTGTTCTGTCTGTTCCACTGGCTTTACCTGCATCACAAATATCACGGTGTCATAATGGAGAAGGTTAAACGTAAGAAAATCAAAGGTTTATTCCTGATTATGTCCAGCATATAAAATGTACATTACTGTTATATCTTGAAAAAAACATAACAAAGGTTGTAGAATTGGTGAAACTGTGATGATGTAAGCAGGATGAGTAAAAACTGTAGAGATGCCACAACTTAGATCAGAAATCTCACTAATCAAGTGATATGCACACAATGGACAGGCTTTCAATTCCCCATGCCTACGGACTGTGACACTGTTTCGTGCCCCTACTTTGTGTGATCAAACACACAACGTCTCTGATCCTTCACCTGCCCCACCCTGCAGTGCGGCCCACCTACAATATCACAGGATGAAATGTAATCCTAGTGAATAGACTACACGCAACGTCCAAACACTTGTAGAAGGACTTATGTTGTTTAGTACACTGGTATGTGAGAGGCAGTTCAATATTGCATGGATTCAGGATATGAACTGCTCATTGTTGCTTTATAAAACCGTAGCACTACACTATCACCCAAAAGGTTTTTCGTAGTACACAATGTATGCCGACTCCTTTATATCTGAGGCCAGGCTCAGTCCAGGGCACATTACAGTAAACAGAGCTCTACATAATGATAGTTTTCATCCTGCTTGCGGTCTCTCTCTTCAAAGTCTTTCCACAAGGTTGCTGAGGGGACGCTGGGAATGCTAAAGTACAGCTTAAGTAACCACTTCCCAGCTGGGCGTGTCAACGTTTTCCACTCACACCATTGAGCCCTAATGCCAAATCATTGTAGTGGAAACTCACACCCGTCATTTCACACAGTTTATGTGTCAACTATGGCATTTGTATTCATGGGATATATTTGCTTGTGAGACTAAGAGAGTGTGATGTGCAATGTTCCATAACCCTAAAGAATGCAATTAAACCGTGTTTGTACGCTGCGCGGAAGAGACGTAACATTTGTCGGGCCTCTTTCCTCTTGTATAATCCACTCAAGCATTTTCTCACTTCATACCGTAAGATATTTATACTGTACATTGAACTTATGATTGTTTTCACATCTGTTGAAACCAAAGAGTTAAAGCCTGAGCAATAGGCATTTATTTGCTTATAAGATTAGATATCACTTGCGTTGTCAATATTCTCGAGAATCCTGTTCAGAGGTGAACACATTCAGTATTTACATTTGTGTGAGTCGGCCACTAAAAGTCGGTCGCCATGAGGTCAACGAATAAAGGCTAGGTTTAAAACCTGGTTTGAGATTTCTATTTGGATCAGGTTGAGGTTAAAGTTAGAGAAAAATGTTTTAGGTTGAGTTCATTTAGGAGGTCTTACAGACTTGCACTTATACTGCCAGATGTATAAGCTAGAAAAATCAGTGAAATCAATGAATAAATGAACAAAACATAGCCATTCTGAATCTGAGGACTCTAAATACCCCTGCATGTAACTCCCTCAAAAGCGAATGATCTCATCTATAGTAAAAAGATATACTTAGTGACCTTCATCTGACCAAAAGCATGTCCTCAAGGCAGGCATGCTGAGAGTAAACTAGACCATGACAATGGGGACTCACAGCTGAGTGCAGAGTTTGCATATAGTTTCCCCCACTCCTTAAAGACATCTCTGAGTGTTAGTCTAACCAACACGAATCTAAATAAATGGTATGAAATGCAGATTGTTTGGGCCTTCCCAATTAAATAATTGAAGGTAGTCAAATACAAATGACTTAATCTAAGTTTAAAGCAATTTATAAAACTAAATATTGAGCCTAACGCTTTAGTAACCTGTATAAGGGTCATGTTACATTTACCAGACCTTCAAAAAATATAATTTAAGATCGTTAAAATTCCCTCAGGGTTCGCCGAAATGTTGTTTGCTTTTAGACAGTCGTATCTATTCCGACTATAGCCAAATGTATGTATAGGCACAAGTTTTACTGACATTTTTTTTCGTTTTGAGAAAACCATAAGAAATGTTGTTTTTTAGGTCATCTACAATATAGTTTAGGATGGGTGAAAAAGTAATGTTGTCTTACCAAGCTTTTCCCCTTGGGCAGGTGACTCAGTCGTCTTGCCTAAATTGGAAGAAACCGTTAGATCATCATGTCATTGATTGTGTCTCTGTTGTATCTTCCTGAGACAAGCGTGCAAGCATTTAGACACATTAACAACATTGCTATTGTTCAGACACTCACCTTTCTTCTTACTGCCTGCACTGCTTGCCACACTTTTTGATCTCTTGGGTGGCATCCTTGCTGTTAGTATTGCTTCGCTAATGAAAGGAAGGACATTTTCGTAAAAATAGTGTTATATTTTTTTTACAAAATACAACATATCCTTATCAATACACACATGCTATTTCATCACCATCTGTCAGAGAGTTACAATGTAATTAGACAGACAGGTAACAGAGAGAGATAGTGCAGACTGCCATGAAGGGTAGCCCAGAATCATTATTCATGACGGTGGCGACATCTTGTGGTTGAAAGGAGAATTTATTCTTTTTTGTATTAGCCATATGAGAAGGAAGCTAACATCTATCTTTAATCAATGTAGTTTATGCACTTGTAAGGGTCTACTGCTGTGAAAACAGTTATCCCCCAAACTGCTCTTCAAAGGTGAAAATAAATAACTAGCCTTTTTTTCATAAAATACACACTTTATGTATTCATGTTAAGTCAAAGGTGGACAAAACTTTCCAATGGAAAACTTCAGAATTGTAATACAAATATGTATATAAAAAGGGAATGTGTCATACAAGGCTGTAAACTATTGAAAATAATCAATAGTTGTATATAAATAAAAACATCTGAATCTTTATGTAACAATATTCATATGAAATAGAAAATGCCACTAAGTCGCTGTGTCACATGAAACAAAGCTTTTGGAAAAAAAAGGATCTTGAATTATATATTTTAGTAAAAACTAAACGTGGGATACATAAGACACATTTATTATAATTGTTTAGCATCATTTTCATGAGCAAGCTGAAAGGAGTTATTGAAAATGCATTGTTTATGTGAAATTCAGCTGGTCATGTACTACTTAGAAAACAAATCTTTTGGATAAATTAATGTATTAATGCAATACGTTTTACAACACAATTTGTAATGTTTTGACTTATTGTACACAATAACTAATTTATTGTGTTTTAACGTTACAGTGTCATAATGTTGTGTGTAAGTTGTTTTGAATTAGCACTTATAACTTTAATGAGTTGTGTTTAACGTCAGTGTCACAGTGTTATAATTTATATAATGGTAGGTAGCCTACTTCACAAAATAAAACAATACAAATGTTTTCAGCTGTTCAGAGTGAAACATTACAGGTCTGCATGGTCTGTTTTCGACGAAAAAGGACAGTCACGTTAATGTTAATTTGGAAATATTTACTTGGAAGCTAAGCTACATAAGCATGGCTAACTGTTCACAATGGTTACAAGAATACACTGTAGTTAACACAGCTTGTTTGTAACTAGTTTTTAAACTAAATGACGGTGCTAATAGCAGTTAACAATAACGTAAATCCGACTAACTTCCATTAAGCCACAGTTTTAAAGACGAATACATAAAGTTTACCGCTTGTTTATCAACTGTTGTTAGCTTTAGTAGTTTTCATCGTCCTCGCTCATCAGTGGCACTGTTTGGTAACCAAGGGTAACAGGAGTGAACAAACTGGACACGACTGACAGTTCAAAGAGCCAATCAGGTTGCAGCAGTAAAATGACGTTGCATCGTCACAAGAAGTTACCTGAGCCATTTAAGACAGTCCGAGTGGATTTTGCTCCCAAGACTTACTTCGTAAATCTTGCCCATCCAGCGTTATTACTTTATTCATAACTCTCTGATTGAAGAAACATTTAAGAAAGTTATGAATTTTAATTAGACAAAGATATTTTGGACACATATGTATCGCATGTCGCAGACGACAGGTGAACGCAGCTAGATAATCTGCTGCGGGACCTAAAGGTAAGAAGCCTATTGGCTAATTTGCATTCTTGTGCACTGAAACAACTGCACTTATTACACGAAACGTAATGAATATTTAATAGCTTGCCTCAATGGTGGAAGTCGAACAGGTATCAGAATGTGAGCTGTTGTTTCTTATTGAACAATGCTATACCAAATGTCATTTCCTTACTTTTCACAGAGAGTTGTTGGTTAATAATCCATTTAGAATGCGGAAGACAACACTTGAAAATATACTAGCCAACAACGCAATATTGACGCGATGCCAATGTAAACGTGTTTATTGATTTTCTCCAAAGGAAACATAATAAGGAAGAATATCATATACAGTTCCCGGCAGTAGTTTCAGAGTTACAAGACAGTCAGACCTGTAATGCAACCTTTAAAGCATTACATGTTCAGTTTTTGTTGATAGTGTAAAGCTTTTCAACCGTTGTGTGTAAGGCAAGTGTATTGGATGTTATATTAGTAGGAATTGTTTCTATTCTATCCACTGTTGTGTCGTTTATGAATGTAAATCAACTGCAAAAATACAGTATACAGAAAACAGAATAAAACACTTTACAGCTCTACACAAAAACTAAACAATTATACACTCACTGTTGAATGTTTGCCACTGCTACACTTTGTTATTCCAAACATGAGTGTAAGAATAAGCTCATTAGTAACTTTGCTCTAATCTCACTCACATTACAATGACAACATTCAATTGGTTGTAGATATGGAGGACCGCAGTGACTTGTATGACGTGGACACGACCAATGCCCCCCCTCCCTGGGAAGACCCCCAACATCTGTGTCTGGAAGATCAGGACGATGTGGAGTGTCTCAGAAGGAAGATCAAATATTACTTTATGAACCCCTGTGAGAAGTACCACGCTCGGGGCCGAAAACCATGGAAACTCATACTGCAGATCATCAAAATTGCCATCATCACTATCCAGGTAATTTTTCTCACTCATTACTCGAACAGATGTTAACTTTGTTGTTTCACCAGCTTGATAACACATTTCCTTCTTTACCTGCATCAGTTAGTGTCCTTTGGGCTGAGCAACCAGATGGTTGTCACATTCAAGGAGGAAAATCTGATGACATTCAAGCACCTCTTCCTGAAAGATTATGCCGATGGAGGCATGGATTCATATGCTGTTTACAGACAGGCTGACGTTTATGACCACATTGATTACATAATCAAACAGGTAATTAAATGCTGTATTTTCTTTTTCTCCTTATTTATTTCAGAGAACACCAAGAAGGCATGATTTAATTTGTACAAGTCAGTTTATTTTTGATCATGCAACACATTTTCCTTTTGTGTTACTGTAAGTCATTGTTGGTATAACTCTGCTTGCTTATATGACCAAAGAGCTTACCAAGCTCCCATGACAAGTGTCATTTTTCATTGGTTTGGACTTTGTTCATATTATTTTGTTTTGTAGATTTTGACTTGACAAATCTAACCATAAACCGCAGCAGCTTTTCCTTTCTTTTTCCATATCAAAACTGTCAAATAGTAAACAACCCTGACTTTATTATACCTGAGATTTCAACTGTTCATTTCCAGTATGGACATTTGCTCAACATCACAGTAGGCAATCACGCATATGAGAAAAAAGGTGATTTCTACACGCCCCTGTCAGTGTGTCAGGATTTCTACAGGAACGGTACCATCTACCCTGGAAATGACACCTTTGAAATTGATGCTCATGTGGAAACTGGTGAGTATGTATGATTATTTGAGTTATGCTTGGACCAGCAGAATACTTAAATATGTTTATGTGTTGCTCATTTGTCATTGTCTTTTTTGTGTGTTGCTGCTTGTGTCTACAGAGTGCTTTGAAGTTTATCCGATGTATAATCCATCATTGCAGGAAACACTTCCACATTTTGAATTACATTTCAAAAGGTTTGCACGTAACATTTAATTAAAGTCTTTTCTCTTGAGGCAAAATCTTTTTCTAATCCTAGTTTTATAGTTGCTGTAAGAGACCGTTAGTTTATATAACTGCTCTGTTTTTTTCAGGTTGCTCTCTGTTAAGGTCACATTTGTTCTCAAGGCCATAAATCTGCAGACGGTGAGACATCGAGAGCTTCCAGACTGCTACGACTTTACTGTTATTGTAAGTCACTTGACTTGTTTTCATGACTGAGTAAACACAAGTGGATCACATTGTCTTTAAAACAGTTTATGAAACTACTCAAATAAAGCTGAGCAATCTTTATGTAAGAAAGCTGTTTGCACACAGTTTCTGCTATGTACATAGTTCACTTTGTTGGCCTGGAAAGTGAATGATTAGCTACTGGCTTTGACTATAACGATGTACACCTATTTAAATAATGTCTTTCCTCCCTTGAACATTATCTCTGGTTAACAGATCACTTTCAACAACCAAGTTCACAGCGGCAGGATAAAGGTTGACCTGGAAAACGATGTAGACATCAATGAATGCAGAGACTGGAAAGTGGCAGGGGCATGTAAGTTTGCTGAGCTGAGTTTAGTATTGTGCAAATTAATCATCTGAGTTGCTTTAAGCTCAGGTCCAGGATTTTGACGGATTCATTAAGGCTGCTCTTTAAGCTTGAGACTTTGATGTTAATAAAATCTGTTTGAAGATCGTCCTTTTCAGGTGAAAGTAATTTAAATGTTCCCTATTCCCTCAGCTGCCAGGAACATATACCTGACTGTGCTGTTTGACTGCCTCATTATTTTAACGTGCATCACATCCCTCGCCCTCTGCACGCGCTCAGTCATCAACGGGATTCAGCTGCAGTTTGTAAGTAAATTAAACTCACAGTAAAGCATAGCATATTTTGCTTTGTTCAAACGTAAAAACAAAAATGATATACTGTCTATAGTGTGATATATCTGCTTATTATTTCTTTTTTGCATATGGCACACTAGGACACTTTATAACTACATTTCTGGTGCACACTTTCTTATGCCAATTTATGCACATAGGGCTTAATACACCATTCTTTTATTATTATTATTTCTTTTTAAAAGCATGCTATCCCCTGCCTTTTTTCACAAACACAAGTTACTTTTTTTTAAAACATACTATATTATGCTTTTATTTTTAAGGGCATACTGTACTCTAACTTTTGTTTACCTTTTATGGCATACTATATACTGCTGATACTTAAGTGTATTTTATATGTAACTGTTTTTGTGGGTTAAGATTAAGCTAATATTGGAACACTTTATAAAAGTATTGTTCGCTCGTATTTCATATACTGCTAAACTTAGTGAAGACAGAAGTACCATATTATAGTAGAAGTATGAAGTGGCATGAAATGAAAATACTTAAGTAATAGAACCTCAAATCTGTACTTCAGTACCTAAATTAAGTAATAACTAGTAATAATGTCAAAACAGAAATTAAAAGTATAACTTCATTTGTTCCTTCCGTTGTAACCAGGCGTACACACTCTACAGCCAGAACCGCTGTGGTCAAAAAGTCCCGTGGTCAGACAGGTTGGAGTTTGTAAATGGTTGGTATATCCTGATCATTGCTAGTGACACACTGACCATCGTTGGCTCCATTCTCAAGTTACAGATCCAGTCTAAGGTAATGGGGATCTTCTGTCACAGTAAATTGAAATGTCTACGAACATTGAATCCTGACATTAAAAGCTTCAATTTTCCTTCAGGTACTCACAAATTATGATCTCTGCAGCATCTTCCTTGGGATAGGCACCATGTTTGTCTGGACCGGGGTCATCCGCTACATGGGCTACTTTAGGAAGTATAATGTAAGTATTTATGAAATACAGCACATGTTTATTAGGTATTGAGTGCCCCATGTAGTGCAATAACTCAACATTGTTTTATGGTAGAGATGCCATAATAGGACAATACAACAGTAGCATTCAAAACAAATTGTAATGGGGGGATGCTGCTACAGTACACGTTGTTTTTCATATGGTTGAGGAGAAAACTACCAGTATCTCTAACAACACATCCTGTTGGACCAGAAAAATCACATTTGTGTGTGTGAATTTCCATATACTGGTCTTCAGTGTAGCTTTTTCAATTATCTGTGGATATTTTCAGATTCTCATCCTGACACTGAGGGCAGCTTTCCCAAATGTTATCCGTTTCATCTGCTGCGCTGGAATCATCTACCTGAGTTACTGTTTTTGTGGCTGGGTTGTTCTTGGCCCGTATCATGAGAAGGTAAGGAGTGTTTGCATGATTCAAAGACAAGTCTGTTGGAATTTTGCAAAAACCCAACGAGGAAATATTTTCAACGAATTGGGTTCTGATTGCTGGTATTATTAATGAATGACTGTGTTGGGATGTATGATATAAAATATAATAAATCAATATATAATTATTACATGTTATAATAAGGAGTTAAATTCAAAACCTTCCCAACAGTTTATATTTGTATATGTTTAAATGTTCTCCACCAATAGCAGCCGCAACATAATGCATTTATTGTTATAATCCAATGATAAAACATTTTCTAAAATGTGGCTTTCTGCGTAACGAGTACTATTAGTATGTTTTGAATATATACTTTCACTTAAAATGTAATAAGCACTTTTACCACTGGTTAAATGTTAACGCCTCTTGGATGTTTTGTTTTAGTTCCGGACCTTAAACACGGTGTCGGAGTGTCTGTTCTCCCTGATCAACGGAGATGACATGTATCCCACCTTCAAGAACATGAAGCAGAAGAGCAGCCTGGTGTGGGTCTTCAGCAGAGTCTACCTCTATTCCTTTGTCTCACTCTTCATCTACATGATCCTCAGCCTTTTCATCACAATCATCACTGACACCTATGACACCATCAAGGTAATGATTATTATCCTTTTGGATATTTGTAACACATTTTTAGTATGTCCCTACACAGTTTGAAGGATTGTTTGCGTGCTGGTTACACAAAGAAGAGTATTGTTTTATCTAAAGTTGTTGCTTAGCTATCCCTTTTTCCTTCTCATTTAGCAACAGCAGCTGAGTGGAATCCCAACCTCTGAGCTGCAAACCTTCATGTCTGTGTGTCAAGATCTGCCAAACTCTGGGATGTACAGGCTGGAGGAGAACAGCTGCTTCCTAAACTGCTGCGTCACCAGGTAGGTCAAAACCATTCAGGGCGCCCCTTAGCAATAATTAAACTGTGAATCCAAGATCAGTGTGCCCAAGCTGTTTAATACTTTTTCTAATTGCCGGTCATAACATCTCTAATAGGATCTAAGTTGATTTTTTTTCCTTTCAGGTGTAGGAAGCATCAGGAGACGCATCAGGAAAGGCTGACTTCAGAGGCATAGTAGGGATTAATGTGGAATTATTATTAAAAAGGTTATGCTTTGTACAGTATAACCTAACACTTGTGGCACTTTACACTGTTATGTTCAATGGGATAGTCTTAAATATGCCTTTTAAACTTTATTCTCCAGGTTTGCTCAGGTGATTTATTTAATGTTAAGGAACTTTGAAGGAAATGTTCAGTGCTAAAAAGACCCAACAGGAAGGTTAGAAAGAAAGGAATTTGAGGCAATAATTATATTTGTTTTTTATGATGCAGAATACTTTGAAAATACACTTTGTATGTTGATATGTAGATTTGAAAAGAGAGGATTGTAAAACCTTAAAAAATTGTATTGTTTTTTCCTAAACATGTCTTGTAATGATCCCGATGTTGTACACTGAATTAAGGTTAAATAAATAAGCTGCTATGTACATTTGTTTTAGAGATTTTATTTCTCCATGCTTTCAATACAAAAGCTAATATAACTTCTATTTTTCCCTCGCACTACTAAAATGTTATTACAATTAAAAATCCCATTTCAGTTTATGGCAATAATAACTCCACCCTCTCGGCCTCTAATATCCAACTGACAGACTGACTGACAAGCTATATTGAGACGCAGATACTATAAATGGTTCCACGAGTCATAGAGAAATAGATGTGGGCATTTATTTCCCCAGAGAAGGTCTGTCATTTGATCCTGGGTGATTGTGGCAGAGGTCTGAGATCAATTCAAACCGAGATGTGCCACTTGTAGATAATAGAGTTGCAGATGGACAGAACAGGCCATGTAATGTTCCAATTTCCCTGCGACAGATTCATATAACATCTCGTGTCCATCATCGTAAAGTAGAAAATCTCTTCAGTATGGCTTATATCCTTGGGTAAAGTACTTTTAGTCCAAAAAACAGGAACCACAATGACCCTCTGTTGTGGCTTGATGCAAGCCTCCAGAGTAGCCAGACGTCTTGTTAAAACAGGCAGAAGGGGAGACCACAGAAAAAGGGTGCAGATTACCCAAAGACGATTTCATTTATCTAAAAACAAGTCCATGAGGCTTGAAAACCTTATCTTGTGTCATTTTGAGATCTTCCTTATAGCGTCCCTTTTACTCTTGGCAGTCTCAACTGTGTCAGGACAATCCAGGAAGGCAGGAAACAAGAGTATTTGGGGTTACAAAAAATACTGTTGACAAAAACAATGGAAGCTTGGCTACTTCATCTTGTATTTGAGGTGAAAAATGTCTCTCAGAGTCAGTCTGGTTTGGATTGGGTGACCCCAGGGGGGGGCAGGACCCGCTGCTCTTCCATCCGGTTGGATTGGGACCGCAGAATGAGAGTGAAAAAATCTTCATCTGGAACAGTTGGTCCTTTGGTTTTGGGAGGGGGAGCAGAACACCGCTGGTCGTTCAGTCGTGAGCCCTTAACAGTCATGAGAGACAGTGCAGCTAAATTAGCTAATGCTTATCAATGGCAATTTAGTTTAGCATGATTAACAACAGAGGTATCACAGCCAATTAACAACAGCTGGTTAGCTTAATTTAGTCTCTTGGATATACACACTGTGTAATCACAATGTACAAATACATAGAGTATTTGAGATATCTAGAAGGTAAAAACGTGTAGTTATTTGGTGGAAAAGTGCAGCAAGAAAGGTACTTGCAGTTCTTCTTAAATGTAAACTTTCTTTAAATCAAACCCTACACGATCCTTGTCAAAACCTTCCCACTCTGTAACTAAAAAATAACTATTATAAGTGTATTGAACACTGTTAATGACTTCCAAAAGGGATGTATAGTACTGTATGTCAACATTTATTTTGTATAGGTCTGTATTTTTACAATCATTTCTAAGAAGATTCCTGGAAAGAACAATGTAATCTGGAACCAATTGTATGCATAATATACTAGTGGTGCACTTCAAATACAAAATTAAATATTGCTAATGAACTCTAGTGACTTGTTAAAGTCTGTTTACACACATCTTTCAAAAAACCAAAAAAACATACAATTGAACATAGACTAAAGTTTATACAACAGACTTGATAATAATAAACCTTGGTTACTAAAGAAATATACATTCATAATTCAGAAATGACATATATTATTTTATGTCAATATTTTTGGAATCTATATCTGTGATGTGGAAAACAAAGACTATTTGCTATTGCTGGGGCAGCAAGCAATACACAGGATTTATTTTTCTTACCTGGCACTTAACCAGCATGTCGAAGAAGACATCCTCCTCCTCGGGCTGCTCAGAGCTGGCCTCGATGCGACTGTACAGGGAGGGTGTGTGAGGGGCATCTGTACTGGAGATGGGGGCTGGGGGAGAAACTAGTATTAGTCATGATGTGAGAAGGCTTACTGAGGGAGAAGATCCAAATGGTCTGTGTTTGGTCACCTTGTAGAGGGACTTGATCTGTGCTTAAGGTGGAGGGTGTAAGAGGCGGGTTGGAGGTGCTGAGCCGTAAGCCAGGAAAATGGCTCATGCTAACTCTTTGGTCGTCCAGGCGACGGGCCTGGGAGCTGGCCAGCAGCTCCAGGAAATGACCAGGATCCTGCGAGGGTGTCTCGCCCTGCAAAATAGCTAAAGACAGAGATCAATTAGTGTGATTTGTAACAAGGTTAGTGTATTACACTTTGCTGGTAACAGGGACTAACAGGGTGTCAATTACTCCAACATAGCATTTCATTCAGATTTGAAGTTTTAAAATAAAAGAGATTGAGACAGTAGTTCTATGAAGTTCAAAGCAAAACTCCACACAAAATCTTTTGAGAGACTCTCCACAGACTTATATAATAGAAATAGATTTTTCATCAGCCATGGAGTATAAAGGCTGTGATATTGATATTCTTGCAGTCATGACGATTACAGACCTTTAGGATGGCAAAGAGTAAAAAAAAAAAAAAGGACCATCCAAGCTGCTTTGATCAGTTAAAGATGAAACCATGTTGGTTACATTAAACTTTCAAGACTAAAAGCAAAAGTGTTTGTTACCCAAATGTAGGTGGCGTATCACTTTAGGTCCTCTATGACACAAACCAAACTAAGGATTACACAGCATGTCATATGTAAGGGACACATTTCACACCATGCATTCACACCATATAGAAGCAAAACTGATACATGATTGAATAGGATGAGTATTTGACTTGTCAAGAATAAAAAGACACACAAAATGACCTTTATCAACTATAACATTTTGTATTCCATGAGTATGAAAAATGGTCCTATATATACACAAGGGGCTGACTCACATTTCCTCTCAGCTACAGGTGGGGTGGAGGAGGGAGAGGGAGGAGCAGGAAGAGCGCTCTGGTCATCTAGTAGCGAGCACCTTTGGTCGTCCATTCTGCTGCCCTGGAAACGAGACAGGAGATCGAAAAAGCCATCCTCTCCAATAGTGTCCCGCGATCCTGGCTACAGTGTAAAAAAAAAAAAAGTTAAGTTAAGAACCTTAAAAAGGGGGCTTCCGATAATTGAGGTAATCGGGATAGCTGACAGTCTTTTAATGAAAACAACATAATACAGGAAAAGACAGCAAGAGCACCCTGCATCACTCTAAACAAAATGATGCTTCTGTAACAGCAGCGTTTACAAGTTTCAGAGGTTAAACAAAACAGAAAAAGAGTTTTGAGAAAGGTATATAACTGCTCTACAGAAACAGTTGCAGTCCTGTGTGTGGACATAGAGGCCATAGTGTTTTTTGACACAACTATGTGTAACAAAAAACCTTTGGATGTGAAGCTGTTTCAAAGGACACATGCTTTTAACTTTTCCTTGAGGGAGACCCATCATTGCTTAGCTTGTACACTGATTTAATTAATTTAAGAGTGAGAAGGGCCATCTGATGCATTTAGAAATACCTGAGGAGACACTGGTGAGTCCAGCTCAGGGGCCGAGGGCTCCGTGTGGTTCTCATGCTGCTCTTTGGGAGAGGATTTGTTGTTCTTCTGCTTCTTGCTTTTTAGCCGGTTGAAGAGGAAGAGCTTAGTATACGCCTTGATTGAGTTGTTTTTGGAAGACCCAGGGAATACATCCTCTTCCCTATCCTTTACATTCAAAGAACAGACTGGTTAAAGAGAGCATTGCTGACAGATTCATGTTACACTGCAGGCAAGGTGAACAGGAAAATATTAATTAATCATTATTTTGTTACATGACAGAAACACACATTTCTGTTTACTTTGGCATACCTGAGTGATGGCAAGAGGCTGATTTAATTAATCTTGCATTATCAAAATAAGACTGTTGCTAAGCAAGGGGTGTTTGCAGTTGGGCAATGTTACGAGCCAGGTTTTAGAAGAAGACTAAATGTTTCCATTCATTTGAAGAAAATGAACTACATTCTTCACATCATTAGCATTTGTTGCCTTTTCATACATACCGGATGTTCAAAAGAATCCCCAGTTTGATTTTTCTCAGGAGTTGGACTCAGTCTCAGGTTCTCTGCGCTGTCTCCAATCCTTGACAGAGAATTTAGTCCTGAACAAAAAATAAGAAATTCAACAATAACTCCATGTTTTAATATTTATACAGCACTTTTGCAACTACAGGAAAGCAGTGATTTTAAAAAGGGGCCCTGTGGAGATTTCTCGCAAACCAACAAAAGTCATGTTTACATTCAGTGTTTCCTTCCTTATAAACAATTAGTAAAGCCACATTTTTAAGTGTTTCAGATCCATCATATATTATATTTACGTTTATGTATTTTTCTAAATGTTATTGTGTCCTGCCTTGTTGGTACAATTCTGTGTTTTATTTGGGCTTCCTGCATGCATTTAAGAGTGCATCCTTGGCCCTGATCAATGAAAAAAACCCACACAGGGTGCCTTTAAGGAAACATTACAATAGAAGGCAGCCTTTTCTGAAGATCAGAAAATATGGGGGTTCATATCAGAAATGTAACATCTCTAAATGCGTGAATAAGATCATTTAACTGTTTTCTAGCACTCATGTTACTAATATGTAATGACACAGATTCACAAGTATGCTACATGCTATACATTTGATTTGTCAAAATGTCCTGAAAGTAACAAGCTCTGATTTACTTTGTAGGGTGTGGAGGCTCAGAGGGCCTTCTGGCAGGGCAGAGCTGTTAGTGTTGGTGTTACGGAAGATATAGGAGTGGTTGTTGGAGTTGGACTTCAGGCTGACGACCAGCCGTAGGTCCGACAGGTTCATCCTGGCTGTCGCCTCAGCACTTTTGTCTCCAGTCTGCAAAATAAGATTAATGTAATAAAAAGCTTAATGAGAGCATGTCAATCCACAACAAACACACTATTGCTGAGTGGGATGAGTTTTAACACTGGCTTCTCAGTTTGCACGTCTGTAAAAAATCTTAATGAATGAATACCGTACATATAAATGCTGGATACAAAGAAGGCATTATTCCCTGCTCCTCTCCATACAACCAGTAGAGGGGGCTGTGGCCTGATGGCTTCTGCTGATTGCACTCAAGAGGGGGAAGGTAAAAAGTAAACAGTCACCTCTTGGGCAATTTCCAGATGTTTCTCAGCAAAATACATGGCTTGCTGGTGGTTCCCCAGGGCGGTGTGGGCATTTCCTAGACTCCAGTACGCTCGCCCTTCACCGACTCTGCAGCGAAACAGAGAAACAGGACGAGCAACTTCAGCTGACATTACGCAAGACGGGGAAGGGCATTCATCACTATCGAGCAGTGCAATCACAAAGCGGATCATAACATGAGCATTTCACAACAACAGCTTGTATTCAAGAACCATATTTGTCCTTTTTTGTGTTTATGTTCCACAGTACAAAGTAACCTTTATGATTTAAAAATACATTTTGAAATTGATTAGACATTTTCAAAACCAGGTTTATATCACAAGAAATAATTTTTTGCCAGACAAAAAAAAATAGCGAGGTACTTCTACATTATAAAAAAAGGCATTTCTTGTTCGAGTTGAGCAGAGGAAAACGCTATTGGTTTTATAAGTAAAGTGAAATAAAAAAACAAAACAGTTTTCAGGCTGACACATCTTGTGATTGGCCTTTTAATGTTCTAGTTGTTCAAAGAGGAGCTACTTTTGAATGTAATCTATAGAAGAATATCATGTTTATATACTGATTGTATATGTTTAATACAATGTGAACCATTGGCCTGCCTAATAAAGACCTGTTGCAGTGTGCTGGATAATGTGTGTTTATGATATAAATCCCATTGCAGGACCCCAAATGCTGTTTTCGTGTGACTTTGTCTGCTTTCCAGTGTTTTTGCAGTTTACTTTAGCTTCATGGCTGTTGGCAGTAACACCGACACATGTTGGTAGGTAATTAGTTCAGGGGCCACCCACATTGAAACTATACATGCTCATTATACCTCGATCTAGGACAGTTTGGCAAAAAGCTGACAACAAATGGCTGTTTTTGGCCACTACCTGTCATTGAGGTCCTGAGCAATGACCAGATGTTTGAGGTGGTAATCAATGGCTCTCTCATAGTCCTGCAGTAGTGTGTAGGTGTTTCCCAAACTGTAACAGGCCTGGGCCTCCACTGCTTTGTCCTTCAGGAGCCTGGCCAGCTGCAGAGTCCTCCTGGGGGTGAAAACAGAGGAGGAGGGAGACGGTCAAAGAATGTGTTGGGTGGGAGCGGGAGAATGATAGTTATCTGCTGCTTTCTTTTCTTTCATTGCTGCAATTTTCCAAGAGCTACTGTCCCTGTCTGATTCTGATTCTCTTATGTAAATGCTGGTGTAAGAGTTTAAAACTTGTATCAACTTCTGCTGTTGAACAACTACATGTTAACATATCTGTGGTTTTTATAAATGACTGCACTTTGTTTTTTCTTCATATAACCAAAACTGTAACACTGGTTCTGAGAAAAATAAATATAAACCCCTTTCTTCCGCAGCTTAAGCTTTTATGTACACATAAGAAATAGCATTCCAGGATCAGGTGAATGAAACACATCCTTAAAATTCTTGTTTCATGTCCAACGATGACATCATGAGGTCATTTGTTTACTCACTTGTAATGGCCTGCGGCTACTTCAAACTGGCTGAGGAAAATGTGAGCATTGCCAAGGTTACAGTGGGCCCTCCTCTCAGCGGACTTATCCCCAAACTCTTTAGCGATGAGCAGCCTCTGCCAAACAGGACAAACCATAGTGTGCACATTACTGAGGTCATGATTTACACAAAACATTTTCAGGAAATCGGGAAGAACAAAGCCTTTGAAATACTGAAGACGGAAAAAAGAAAATGTAGATTAAACAAACTGAAATAGACCTAACTTGAACACTTTCAAACCACTGGTTTAAACTAAACACAGGGAAGAGAGATAATTTGAAGCAGGCGAAGCGTAGCAGACATTGAAAGTGTAAATGTTCCACCAACCTTTTCATGTGCAGCCGCTGCCGTTTCAAAGTCACCCAGCAGATAGTAAGTGTTACCTAGGTTACCATGGGTGCGACCCTGAGCGGCCCGATCACCCATGTCCTTCACCAGACTTAGGTTTGCTCTTCATGGAAAACAAAGCAAGGGTAGGCAAATACACATTGTAAGACACATAATGTATAAGCAATGCAGCTAATCGCTACATGAAAAAGCTTTTTATAATATACACTTTGACAATATAATCTTATCCCATTAAGGTGATTTCAGGAGCTAGTACGTAGTTTAAGTATCAGCACTTCTGAGCATGAAACAAGGGGTAAACATGTCATTACATTTGCCAAGTTAATTGACCTGGACTATTTTGTCAAAATAATATTTCCAAGATCAAGACTCTAATTTCTCACTCAACAATATAAATACTTTATATTAATACCATGGCTTCATGTCACTCAGCAGCATTTAGTCCTATAAAGATCTACAGTATAGCTACAGGCTGATTACAGGAATAACTTAAATCAACAACTTGACAACTTGTAAGCACAAGCAAAAAGTAAAACTATTTTTGTCCTACATGGTATAACATCCAACCAGCTTATAATGCGTTACATTTGATATCTGACGAATGTGGCTGGCAATCATATCAAAAGTAGCAACGTAGGAGTTCAGCATGGTACTTGGGGATATTTTGATACAAGGTAGAGCAGTGGGCTGATGATAAATTATAAATATGCCACTGTGGATTCTGTCCAACAAACTTAGAAAATAACTTATATTTTCCAAGCTGAGATCTTATGATTGATTCAATATCAATGTTAGTCTGGAAAAAGAAAAGTAGATTAGTCTTCACTTGGAACTGCGTATTACTTTGTTTAGTGAGATAAAAACAGATATTGATTTTGTAAATATGTAGGATGCACAAACACCAAGTTGAATGTTGAAAAAACGTCAATAATCAGGTGAAACTGTATGTAGTGTACAGTTCAAATCGATTTTTTTCTCCATATAGGTAATTTAAAGAACATACAAATACTAGTAATGCAACTTTTTCAACAGCCCTGTTTTTTGCATAGGCACTGTGCCAGTTGTTTGGCATGTCATAAATAAGACAACAAACTAAAATAGTTGTTTTTTAGGGGAATACACCTGCGACTCAGCAGATGTATTGTCAATTTAACAATAATGTCACTTGTACCATTCCTCAGGCCTTTCAAAATAAATGCAAAACAACACATATGTATTGATTAGTGGTAAGGACTCACTCGTAGTACTGTGAAGCTTTCCTCAGGGCTACCCTGGCCTCCTCTGGGAACTCTCCTGGCTCCGCTCCAGTCCAACAGATGCTCTTGCCCTTGGCGTGGTAGACGTTCCCGAAATTATACAGCGCACGAGCCTGCCCAACCTACAGCACGCACAGCACATTTTCAGAGACCGAAACCATAGTGACCAGTGCTGTAATTATATACTTAAAATACACTGACTCTAGACCTGCTTGTTTGCATGTGTCCTGGCAAACTATTCTAACTGTTGGTACGACGATGATTTGCAGTTATTGTGCATACCAAAACCGTTCTGTGGCTTATGTGGTATGACAGAAAACAAATTGGAAATCCCTTGATACTATTCAAAGTAAATGGGCCATTTAGTCATTGACTGACCTTTTAAATACAGACAGTGAATAGGCATCAATTGCCAGTTTGCTAAGAGGGACTGAAGGAATGTTTCACATTTACCTAAATAACTCTTGTTGCGGTTCCTAAACATAACCCACCTTGTCATAAATGGCTCCGGTGATATCCAAATGTCTTTGGCAACAAACCACGGCTTCATCATATCGCCCTAAAAGCTTTAACGTGTTCCCAAGGTTACCACTGGCTTTCGCCTCACCGAGTTCATCTCCAATTGTTCTGGGATTTCAATGGGAAAAAAGGAAATAATTAGACTGGAATATTAGTGCATTACTGACGTATATGAGTATGAAAACACAAGCGGCAACAAAAGTAATAAACAGCTGCAAGCAGCAATATAGCGGAGTCTAAAATGTAATCATGGAGAAGGAAGTGGTGATTCAAAAGGTTTTAGCATTTTTTCAGGAAATATTGTGAGTCTAATGTGGATTTAACCATGTCTAACACACCTTACGCATAATCTCGAGCACGACCTTAGCAACTGGACAAGCCTTTCTCAAGCTTGTCCAATCCATATGATCATAGTTCTAAAGGAGGATATGGTCTTAAACAAACTTGCTAAGGTTGTGAAAGTGTTTACCGAGTAAGTGTGAGGTCATGCCGATGGTACTCCAGGGCTTTGTTATACTCTTGCAGGTGAAAGTAGGCATTTCCCAGCTGGCTGTAGATGGCGCTAAGTATTTGAAGGTCCTCGGTCCCAACCTGGATGGCAGACTCAAAGAAGGACACGCCGGCGCGATATTCCCCAGCCTTACACAGCCGCTCACCTTCCAGAGCCAGGTCCAGACAAGATGACTCCATCCTGTAAGGAAGTGAGATGGACATGAGAACTGAAGGAGAGCTCCAAAGTCAGGATATTTGTAAAATACTTTGAGAATCCTCCTGATAAAGCAAAGTTACCTCTCAAAGGATTTTGTAAACAAAGGCTTTAAAGACAGGCTTAGCGCAATCAAATAATGTTATGTGATCAACACATTCAAACAGCCTTGGGCGGTACAGTAAATCAGTAAACTAAATGAGGCAAAACAAAGGACATTGACATTTTTTTATTTTCCCTGAGACCAAAGTGATGTCCTTAGATAACTTTGTCCATCCAAAAATCCAGTTATTTAAATTAATAAAGGAAAAAGAAAGAAAGTTAATCCTTACATCTGAGAGGCTTAATGTTTGGGATCTTTGCCTATTAAATAACGATTATCAATTTTTTTTTAATTCCAATGTTCTGTTGCTCAACTTATCAATGAATTGTCTTCAAATTGCCACCAATGTAAATAACCATACACTAGATCCCAGAAATGTCTCCTCTTAAAATGATAACATGCAGATAGTGGTATACATGTAATTCAGGAAGCACAGTGAATGTACCAGCGTGTATACTCTGGAAGCATTTACGAACGACGCACCAAATTCTAGCCAGAGAGTATTCCAGGGCATGTGAAGCCACAGACACAAACTATAAATCCAAAATAGAACAGAAAGCACTTCCTGTCTCTTGTGAGCCTGAAAACCCCAAAATACCCTGGAATGAAAATGTGTGCCTTACATTTAACCATGAACACAAAGTCAAGTCATACGTGTCTGTGGTAAGGACGGACATTTAAAAGCCTCCACACCCTTCCTAAGAAATAGGATCATCCACTTTCGTCAACATCAAACTGCCAGCAGGAAAAAAAGAAAAAAAACAACGAATCCATGAGATCATACCCTTGTAAAACAAATCCAGTCATGCGTGAGTGCGCAGGACATCCAGAATCTACTTTTACTTTTATTACATTTGTCTGATGCTGTTTGACGATACAATTTTCGAAGCAGAACGTATCCCACTAGTACATTTTGACAAAACTAACCTTTGCTTTATTCAGATGTTCACAACTTCCTCTTCTTTTCTTCTAAGCATTTGCTAACCTGGCTTTTGAGTTATAACTGGATTTCCGTGCAGAACACATGAAAACGCAAGACATGCTTATGTGTTGAAACAATACCTCTACAGGTTTATTACTTTTAGGCTTGTCTTCTGATATTTTCTAATGTCAAAACAAGTAAGGGTAAGACATTTAGCTCTCCAGAGGTTGCATGAACACTTCGCCCCCATGATGACATTTAAACCACCCCGAGAGACCCAGTATTAGTGCTTATAGAGAACTTACTCTACCCAAACAAAGTTCAACAAAATGCAAAATCCAACTGTGATTTATTGCCTGCAAGACTTGTATTTATTATCCTGTCTCAATGTTTGAATGATTGAATAATAACTAGAAAAATAACTACAAATCAATGTTGTTGTGCTTTGACCTATGGGTTTTCTTAGCTTAAAGCTCCATCATCTCCATTCACCAGCGTTATGACTTAAACACACCTTGGTGGCATAGATGGAAGCGTTTAATCTCTTCTTGACAGCAGGGACCTTCTCTCAAAAGTATGAGTTGGTGCAGAAACTTCATAAACTTATATTAAAAAATGATTTATAGCTCTACACAATAAAAAAAAATGCTGTTAGCTCTTAGACCTTTAAGATGGGCAAGTTTTATATTCCAACATAATGTGAAATCTAGCGAATTTTTTGCCATAAGTATTATTTCGATCTAAAAATGTATACTACTTGGTTTCCTCACATTAAGCACAACAAAGCAAAGTGACATGTGACCAATGCCCAGGCCCACCTACCTGTTGCATTTCCCCGTTTTGATGCACTGAAGACATTTTGACGCAGCGGACATTTCAAGTTTCCTGATCACTCTCTGGAGCAAACACAGCTCTTTCAATACGACACCCGTTACATTCTCTTCCTTTTCATGGACACACATAACCCACACAATGTCCCAGGTTCAGAGAAAGACAAGAAAATCCATCCCTCTTGAATCAGCTGCTGTCCCTCGTAGCGCTCTGCTGACCGGTTGTAACGGCTAAACAAAGGACTTAATCCGCTCAGCGTTCACATTGACCTTAAAGATTAGGTGCCTGAGCAAGAAACCTTTTGTTTAATCAAGTGCAGAATAACAAAAGGTCGTCACCAAGCAGAAGTGACCAGAGAAAGAATGGTTAGCTAAGTTTATCCATATGTTGTTTTTCACTACGATGAGCCATCGGTAACCTGCAACCCTAAGCCACCTTATGGTAAGTGTCACTTCCAATTAGGCCAGGCGTCATCATTGGTCATTATTTTAAGTGGCTTCAGGGAACACTAAGACTATTTGCTCAACACTCCAAGAAATAGTCATCCTCCCCCAGGCAGCCGGGATGTGAAGGAATTATTCTATTGAACCCATACAAATGTTGCATGCATGATAATATACTCATTCTGGGATTTCCATAATTCTCAATGATTCCTTTGGGCAAATTCCAGCTGATATTTCCTAAGCTTACAGCAACTCATTTCTTTTCAATCCGGACAAATCTTAATAGCTAATTATCGACTGATGTGTCCTCTAGGTAGAAAAGAAAATAAGGCATTAGACATTAAATCCGGCACCTCAGTTGACCAAAAGCCATGCAACCATTGTGTATTAAAGGCAAATATTGAATAACCCAAACTCTGTGCTTGTGTAATTGTTTTACTATAAATCAGTAAGGATGCTTCCCAAACAGTAACTGAGCTCAGAGTTGACTTGCTCTAGTGCAGTTCTTCTTGGACACCAACGTTTTAGAAACACGCCCAAAATATAACAGTTATTTCTTACTGCCAAACATATATTGACGTTAGTGCCTGAGGCGTGACCTGCAAGTATCTAGTGATCTGATAGCATCCAGAGACAGGTAACGGACTAGCCTGCAGGTTATTGAAACAGAGTGGAATTTGTTTAGAGAAAAATGTGCCGTCCGTACACAGACTTGACAAAGCGTGCGTGTAGTGCCAAACATTACAATGGGGTGATGCAATAGATGTCAACTTTACCGTAAAATGACAACATAGCCTGCACTCAGAAGCATATTCTCACAATTATTTAAATCTTGTCATGAAATATTTACATTGTGGTCAGAGAGGACCTCCTGTGGTCTGCTCAGCATCCTTCATCAGTTATCCAGCAAGGTGTCATATTACTAGAACTGTTGTGACTATCCTAACATCTTGACACAGAAATGTGTAAATATATTGATTAAATCAAGTAAAGGTTGTTGAAAACAATGGTAAGAGAGAAAAAATAGAAATAACAAAGTCTTAAAAATAGTGATTTACTGTATATAGCATATCATTTTTTATCCATTAGGCTGCAACTAGCAATTTATTTGTATATAAATGGAACATTTAGGTAGCTCAAACAACTGAATTTTGGTGATTAAACATCATGAAACAAATATATATATATATAGGTAATTCAATGTTAGGATTTTATAATACTATATGAAGCACAACAATCTAAAAACGTCCAATACTACTCAGAAACTTAACAACAAAAGCAAATATGTTTGCAGTCATCTCAGATTCAGAAAGTATAGTAAGATATATAACGGTTAATGTGACACTAAATGCACAGCCTACCTCTGGCGGACATGCAGTAAATGCTCCGTGTCCTGTACACAGTGCGGAGAAACGCTGCCATACAAGACAGTCATCCTGGAAGTCCCAACAAGAGCCAGAGCTTGAACCACATCATAGATGTTTGTCAACTGCCAAGCTGAAGGGGTATTTGACAGGAATTTGGAGACTAACTGAGAAGGAGTTGTCCTTAGAAGAGGCTGAATACTGCCATGCATGGTTGCTTTTGAACTACGCAGGAACTCAACCGTCATACTATCTCTGTCCCACCTCTTATCTTGAAACTGGAGATGGGGAGCGAGAGTAAACACACACTGACACACGTGGCCATGTGTTACATCTTATTTCATTCATTCAACAAACACAATCAATCAAGTGTTTTTGAGCGGACGCAGATGGGAAAACACTTAGAGTTTGAATATAATATTAGCTGCTTTCTAGAGCAGAAACAATAAGTCAGCAAAGCGATAAGGCAATCAACGGAACATTTATTGCTATTTTCTTAGCAAAATGTATCTTAGATGACCAGTTTCAGTTCCTGGAATGTACTTTGTGTGTTATCTTAGGAAACCAATGATAGTGAAGTGAGGACTTTTCTTATAACTTTGCTGTTAAACTGGTTCAACTTCATAGATCAAGATTTCATTGACTTTGAAAAAATCTTTAAAAACGATTTAAAGATAAAGCAAGAAAATCATTGATAGAATATTCAATGATAGAGGAATCATTAGCTGCTTCCCAAGTCAGTTCCCAGTTTAATTCAAGGCAAACATCTCCTCATGTTCCTTCAAGATGTAATATGTTACTTACCAATAAATAAGTAAAATGCAGAAAACGTGTTTTTGCCACTTTATCAGAGCAAGCTATTTGTAGAGTAATGATTTCACATAGTATTTTAAAACAGGTTCATCATCTACTATTTTTAGCGACACTGCGGTATTGAGGTTGTTTTCACGGTGCAGACTGAGTGCAAAGTTAACCAAGAGCTTTAAACCACTGTAGGAAGGATTCATCTTATTAATGCCAAACTCCCGGGAGCATGTCCAAACAGAAACTTGAGATTCAACTGATCAGACCGCTTTTTTTTCTTTTTTTTTTTAATTCTTTATTTATTTGGGAATCAGTTATCTTATTTTTTATCTACTCTTCACATCTCTTATTTTGTAATAATGTGCTCACTCACTGTGCTTTGTTTGGTTCTTTCTGCACGCACCATTGCATCAAGCTGTGCTGAACATCCCATCCCTTTGTCAATGGTCAATGCATTTGTCACGTCCCGCATCGACTACTGTAACGCCATCCTCTCAGGCATACCCACCAATACCCCCCCCTCTATCTATGTTCTGTTGCCTATTAGCGTTTTCTTTTATTTAACAAATTGTACGGTGTCCTTGGGTGTCATGAAAGGCGCCTAAAAATAAAATGTATTATTATTATTATTATTATGTTTGCCTCCCTATTGGCTTCACTGAGCTTACCCTACCCTAAGACCTCATCCACTGACTAAAGCGATTTCACACACTAAATCACATGACTTTTTATTGATTACACCATCTTGTAAACTTTAGACAGCGTAGTGTGCATCAAAAGCCCAAGGGTGCAGGCGACTGTGATACAGCAACCAAAATGTCTGGAACAGTCACACCTGTTCAAAGTGACTCTCTCTTCACCATTTGACCTGTCTGCACGTTTGACATTCTTTTTTCACACAGTGTTTCAGACATGGTCTGTGGCTATCAAAGTAAAGAAAAAAAGGACTGAACGGAAACATTCCACTGAAAAGAATATATTGATAGACATACAGTATGGAATGTTAACAAAAGTCGGATAACCTCTGCATTTACAACAATTTGAATTGTTCATTTTCAGCACTTTTAACGATGGTTTATTGGTATCAAGAAACATTAAAGGATAAAAGAACAGCAGCTGAGAAGAATATATGTACAGACCAAAAGTAGCAAATACTTGCCCTTTACATTTGTATTTGTTCTAATTCAATCTAAAATCATTTAAATTGAGTGTCAATATCATCCGCTTACTTTATCTATTGCTAATGCAAATCTCTGAATTTAATGATGTGTAAACATTTTGCAAATGTAATGGGAGCAATTAGTTACCATTAAAGATGCCTAAAAAACAGCCCTGCATGAATGAGAGGTGTACAACCAAAACACAGGGGTTTGTAAAGTATGTCTGAGAGCCATAACGTTCTAAATCCTGAAGGAAGTTCTGTTTTTTCCCCACAACCAAATTCTTTCTTTTGTACTTGAGTGGAAAACTACAGATTAAGCATATTGTAAGTTTCAAAAAGCTATTTCAAAAGTCCTTGCTCTAAGAAACAGACGTTTAGTCACATATGCTAAAAATAAACCCATAAGCATTTCAACACGAATACGCCCAACAAATCCCTTTCCAATTAAGGGATGCTCTCTAAAGTGAAAACCATATTTTCTTTTGAAGAACTCTTTATTTGAAGAAACCATCATTAGAGACCTAACCCTAACCCTGCGTGGGAAAAGAGGTCAAGCTCAGTTAAATGGAAATCTGAGCTGCAACACCGTAATCATAGCCTTTCTAGTGAAATTAGCATTTCTAATACGCAGTGGTGGAAAGTAACAAAGTACATTTACTCAAGTACTGTACTTAAGTAAAAAATGGCTGCATTTTCCATTATGCTTCTTTCTACTTCTACTGTTGGCAAATATTGTATATTATATATAAATACTCCACTACATTTATTTTACAGATTAAGTTACTACTTACTTAGCAGATTTAGATTATAAATACAAAATATAAATCTACTAAAATATTATAAGATATTTTTTTGGAATTGATGAACAGGTTCATGCATCAATAATTATAAAAGATTATTAAAAATATATGATGCTTAAATGGGCTTTTCTGCTAAAGACTACTTTTACTTCTGGTATTTGAATGCCAAATAGTTTTGTACTTTTACTAAAGTACAATTTGGAATGCAGGACTTTTAATTGACTACTAGTTTTACACTGTAGTATTGGTACTTTTACGTAAATAATATACTTCTTCCACCTCTGGAAATACGCATTATAAGTCAAATGTTTGTAAAAAGAGACTTAATCATTTAAAATGTCTACCCTTTTTTGAGTCCTCAAAGTGTGAGAAACTGTTGTTGTGTGGTTATTTAAGGTAATGTGGGAACCTGCAAGTTATTATTTTTAATTAAGCCTCAGGATGACACATTCTTCACGGTGAAGGTGACTGTTTGGAAAATCACACGCTAGATATGAGTCAGTTTATTATGAGCATGCCATCACATGCTTGCTGTCTGACAGGGGTATCTCAGTCCGTTAACTGTATTATAAAGTTAAAAAACAAGTTTTAACCCGGGAAATGTCAATAAAACAGTAACACAAGAGCAAGTTTTAACGCGTTTTGCTTTCTGATAATAACAGCGAAGTGAGCACGACAACACGATTGACGACAACAAACTTTTCAGGTAATAATGTCACCTACCTCAAACTGAAGAACGCCAATATACCAAAAACATAAATTGTGGAAATATCTTCACCAACTTGAGATCCTTTTCACTAATCTGTTCGCCCAGTTGTTTACTAAACTACTCACTGGTCCATCTGGGAGGAACTCTGTCCAGGAAAGCAGAAGTTGTGAAGCCACTCCTCGCGCTGAAAATCTGTCTCCAATCAGGATTCCATGCATGCTGCCTTCAGGTACCGTCGGAAATGCAAAAATCTGCTGCTTAGGAGTTAACCATCGTCCAGTCAGATCTGTAAAACGTAAACTTCAAGCATAAGCTCTTTGCTTAAAGTGTTGCGTTTGAAGGGCATAGGAAATGTTAATATATTTACTGCTGGAATTATACAGCCACATGCAGGAATAGGACTGAATGAATTTAGCAGCAATTTTTAACGTGACATGTTGAAGATCTCTCCCGCCCCCTGTCGCAGCAAGTGTCTCTGTGCTGCCTATTGTGTAACTAGATTTTTCAAATTAGAGCTACAGCTTCTGTTTAAACAGATGGCCCTGCCTTTTTAAATACATTTAAAAATATGTTATTCCTTTGGAAAATGGAAATTCAAAGTCCTACACCAAGTGCTTTCAGTTCAACAGGAACGGTCAGTGGGTCACTCACTACTTGACTTTGCTGCTTTTAAAGCATTTTGGATATTTTGTGCAGAAATCTAAGACAAACCCAACATTTAGAGAGAAACAAGGTCATTAATGTTGGTCATGTATCAATACAAAAGTTACCGCTCAATGTAATACGCTCAATGTAATATGTCAGTGTTTGTTTATATGAAAACCCAAGCATAGCGTTGCTTGCAGCCTCTCACTTTGTTTTGGGATGGTGTAGACTTTTTCACTCATCTTTCAAACCCCTTGTCCTTTGTAAAAAAAGGTGTACTCTGCTGCTGTCACCAAAAGAGTTTCAACTGTCTTATAAATGAAGACAGACTGCTGCTTTTTTTACCTGGGGGCTTTGCTCTACCTTGGTCATTTTTCATCTCCGAATGTAAACGTCTCTGTAGACTATTTGCCATTGCCAGTTTCTGAAAATCACAGGGCTCTTTTGTTTATTTAGGATTAGACTGTGGGATGCTCTAGCCACATACAGGATGACTTATTACATCTTCACTTCTCTTCTCTGTGTTAGTTTGCTCTGTCTAACAGTTTCTGTGTTGACAAATGCCCACTTTGATTAACTGCAGCTTTTAAAGCTTCCCTGAGATGTTTGCACATTGTCGTTTGGCTGAAAGCTATTTGGCAAAGCTTTGGCCATGTGGTGAAGAATCCTAATACACCATGACTTTTCCTTTGTTGTGGTCGAGTATAATCTTACACCAACCTTGGAGCATTGTTGAAACTATTACAACAAGACAAATGTTATTTTGTTGTTAGTATTATCAGACTGTTAGCTGGGGTTCAAACAAAGATTTATTCAAATTGTTCAAATATTTGAAGCTATTTTTAAATATAGTTTAAGCTTTGGCCACTTGAGATGTATAAAACTAGCAGCAGAAAGTTAATTTAAGGGGCCAAAGAGAAGAGATAGCATTCCACAAATCATGACAAGCCATCAGAGCAGTTTACTGCTCCACCCCTTCTCTGGCAGTGCCAGTCAAACAGTGGTGTATCGAGCAGGACCCGGACAGGAGCGGAAAGGAGAAGACCCACTGGGGAAATCAGACAGGAAGGTGGGGTTGTGAGAGGTTGTGTTCTCCATTAGGGCCTGCCGTTTCTTGCGGTCACGCCTCTGATAGCGGAAGTTAAAGGGTGGTCGCATAGCTATGGGCCCTCCTATCTCTTCAGAGGAGGAGGCAAGAGGGTCAGCCCCTGGTGGTTGCTGTTGCTGGTTTACTAGATCTTCATCAGACTCACTTGAAGAGGAGGAAAGGGGGATAGAGGGGTTGGCAATAGGAGGGTCATAGGGCACAGGGTTCAAAGGGCACAGGGAGAATGGGTGTGGGGTCAAAGGGTTCTGGTTGAAGAGCAGGGGGCAGTGTGGGGTCAGAGGGAATAGGCAGTTGATCATATGTTGGATCTTCGATCAGAGGAGGGAAGGTCGGGATCTCAGGGTCTTGGGGGATGTCGTGACCTTGAGGCTGCACTGGTCTAAGGATATCGACATTCTGCAAACAAGAAGACATGATCAAGACCAAATTGATATTTGACAAACTCACTCTCACTGGCTGCAAAAAGACTCCCAGTCACGCAATATTGCATTACAAACCACAGCTCTAGAAAGGAGTGAGAAGACGGCGTAATTATAGCTCAGAACCATACAATTTTGAATCTCATGCGTAAGTTAAACACACACAAGAAAAATGTATATTAGAAGACACAACACAAGATATGACGGAATAATTATATGGCCAGTGGCATTTGTTCAGAAAGAGTTGAATTATCATTTTAAAGGTTGCTTTAGTAACATCTGAAACAAAATAGAGAATAAAACATTCATCCAATCTCATTGAGGCAGCGGCTTATTACAACCCAACTGCAGCCCCACAGTGTGAAGTGATTGGCATTTCATGTAACATTTTTGCTGAATTTTCGTAAACAATATGTTGTTATTTTTTTTAGGTCTACATGTATTTTTCAGCTGTGATTAATAATCCTTACTTCTGCTTTTTCTCCTATTTATTGCATTTAATAATCGGTAAATTTTGGTAGTCTTTAAGCCAGGTTTTACATGTAGGTCGACATGTTGACTTATGTCTAATTTGTGTTAGATATCTTCTGTTCAGATATCTGTTAGAAAAGATGAATGCTCTAACAAACTGTAGAAATATGTTGGCATCAGTATTTAGAATAATGGAGTTTGAATGATTATATAATGTGTTTTAGATCTTAACAGTAACTTTTACTTTGGTCTCAATAACTCTTTGGGTTAATCATTCAGGGATATGATGAGTGACACATTTTTGACGATAATTAACCTACAAACCGAAGGATAATCCTTGTACTGTATAGGTGAAACCCTTGTTTCTGATTGGGATTATACAATTCCTGTACCTTTATTTTAAACATCTCACAGGACACCTGAACATCAGGGTGGACGCCCATGTCTCTGTGCACAGATCCTGCGCAGAAACCTGCAGTCTGAGAGAAGAGATGAGACATTTCATCAATTTCATTATGATACTAGGTCACAGCAAGACCAAAAGCAACAGGATAGAGCAGGGGTTGTAAAATAATAAATAAATAAAAGAAGTTGAAGACTTGTCAGGCTTCTTATATAAAATAATCAATTACTGCAGCCTTTTAGTGGTGTCAGTTTTATAACTAGAAAAACGGATCAATCATTTCTTCAAGTATACTTCCAGGAGCTGCATAAGTGATAGTCAACAGGCTGATTGATGTTTATTATTATTATTATTATTATTAAGTTTTCCGAACACCATTAATTTGTGTCATAACAGTGTCAGGTTGTCAGGCATAGGGATCCATTTCTTTTAATTAATGGAGCCTCTTCAGACAATGTTGTCCAATCAGATTTCTCCCAATCAACATTGCACTTATGCAACCGCAGCTTTTGTGTGATTTATTTCAGTGTTAAACCAATTTCAAATTTGACTTGTCTCATAAAGTGTGTTTGTTTTCCCTCTGTGTTGAGTACCTCTGTGTCAGACTCCACTGTTAGTCGCTGGCAGGTGCCTCTTTCTGTCACTCCCTCTGGACACTCTTGGACAATGTACTCCACAAAGCTGGCTTTCACTGGCACAACCTGAATACAAAAGTTATATGGTCAGAAAAGGGCACATTTCACAAATAAACACACATATAAAGGCAGATACAGAAAGGAATATGATTGATGTCAAGAAATTGTCATCATTTATGTTTTAGAGCACCAAAACATTTACCCAAGGGAAGTTATTGAGCAATTTTCTGACCCTAACGCCCCAAGTAAACTAGTACGTTTAATATTTTCTTCCCAAACAAAAGGCCGCCCAGACAGTAAAGTCTAAAGTGCCTCAAGTCATTCGCTGCAACCTCAGCCTGTATCATTACGTTATTTGTGGAGCAATAAAGGCACACAGAAGCTCAAAGGTGCACTTTTCCATCTGCTCATGTACACCCAGAGATTTACCTCATGTTACATTTCGCAATAAACGTAATATTCAACACATTGTTGTGTAATGAAATCAGCTTTGTGTGTCCAGTCAGAGTTAATAACTGTAGATGCAGGCGTACCTGTGCTGAAGCTCGGGTGATCTTCTTCACTCCCAGCCCGGCTCCCACTCTGGACTGTCTCTTATAGGAGTCCAGAGTGGCCCGGGCAGCGTCCACAGCCTGTGGGCTATCTGCAGGCAGCAGGAGGGGGCAGGTGGGACAGGTCTGCTGGAGCTTCTCTGGGGCATCTACAGGAACCAGAAAGGGATCATATAAAAATATTGAATAGTTATATCTGCTCTGAAATTACTAACAAGGTATTATCAGTAGAATATAATAGGCAGACATGCATAGGTATTAAATAAAAGCAATGGTTATCAGTATTCAGTAAAAGCTGGCTCTATTAAATAAATTGTCTTTTTAAACAGTCTCTCGTTAATAATTTCATAAAGCCCTTAAAAGTACACCCACACAGGTGTTTAAAATGATTTTAGTTGGAATTAAGGAAATAATTGCTTGCAGCATTAAGATTTCTTATACAAATTCAAATGAATTAAAGCGCTACAGATGGGAAGGTGTTCCAGGCCTTTAGGCGATATACAAATAAATATTGAATCTCCGATTGACACTAGGGTGAAACTAATCAACATTTCCATGGACAACTATTTGATTTGTCATAGTGGGAAATGCACAGGTGTGGCTAATTATATTAATTAAGGCTCAGTTCCGTCTAATTGTGGCAGTATGCCATTATTAATGTTATTAGTTTCACCTGTTTATCACAATTTCTATTCAAAGAGAAATATCTTCTCTGATGAGCTGTCAAACAGAGCTATATTATTTGCACAAATAATACATGTGGAGAAATTCAAATTATTTGCAATTTCTTTATAATGCTAAACAATAGTTTTAACATACCTGGGACCAGAGTGCAGTCGTAGCTGTACAGATAGGAGTATCCCTCTGGTGTGTGCAGAATGGTGGTATTGCAGTTTCCAGAGATTTGCTGTGAGGAATACAATGAAAATAGAATATAACATGTAAAATAGACCCTGATTAATGCCACTTACACAGATATTTCTTCTTAAATGTAATGTTTGTGGGAAAATAGTTGGGTTTTAAGGTTTAGCTTAGAATTAGGTTCAGAATTTAGTCCAGCTGAAGTGTTAAAATTAAGGATTAGGGGCTGCAGAAAATCCCCTGAGGCAAATTAGTAAATTGTTATGTAGAATATACGGGTTGAAATGAGCTTGAATCCAAATCTAAACCACACATTCAAAAGAAAGGTAATGAATGTGTTCACAATCAAGATACTGCTCTATTTACAGAGAGTGTGTGTGTGTGTGTGTGTGTGTGTGTGTGTGTGTGTGTGTGTGTGTGTGTGTGTGTGTGTCGTACTGTTTCCATGAATGGTCGGACGTCACAGCGTTTCCATGGTTTTGGGCTGCCTATGTGACACTTGGTCTCCAGGACATCCAGGTCCAGGTAATAGACATTGCCTGCTGGGCCCTGACAGGCACAATGCAAACACAGGTAATAAGAGAGGATGTACAAACACTGCTGTGTGCTCAGACTTTCCAATCTTGCTGTTATATGGCCCAGACTTTCTGACTAAGTGCTTTACAGGATCAAACAGAGAAAACATTGAGAAGAAAATACAAAACACACAAAATAATTAAAAGAAAGAAAACCATGTTTTTCTATTGTTTAATAAATCTGTCGAGTGCCTCCATGTGTTCATATTTTAAAGGAACCATTTATGAGGCACTGTGTGGGATTCCTGATAACACTTTGGACGATTTTAGTGGTAGTATTAAAAACAAATTACAACAATTTGAGCACTCGTAATGGCAGCCTTTTCAGGTCATGAAGTTGAAGTGAGCTTCTTGAAACCTGATTTATCCCACAGTCTGGTTACAATAGCCCTCAGCAGCTGACAGCATGAAGTTCATAAAGCCTGTCGTATTAAGTCTGTCCCAAAGCTCCTGGACTGAAAAGACCTGGACTTCTATTAACTGTTCCTTGAGTGCTAGTCTTCTTTCATGAGGCATGAAGAAGTTGGATTCTGATTTCATAATATACAATTCTGTACATCAAATTCAGTGTAACATTTGAGTAAGATGCACTGATGGCATGCATCCACAGCGAACAACACATATTTATTTTTGTTTTTAGTCTTTCGCGGTGGTGCACTAATTTAATTGCAACTATTTTTCAAGTGTTTGTCAGTGGTTCNTATGCTTTAGGAGGGCAGGTGTGTGTGGACAGTGTGTAAGGTGTGTGTGTGGTACAGTGTGTGTTGTGTTGGTACAGGTGCGGGTAGATGCGGCGGACCCCAGACGGGTCTCAGTTGGTTTGGTGTCCTATGCTTACTTTTAATACTTGTACAACTTTTGGCCCGTAATTTCAATTCCCCATTTCAGCGACCAGAGAGAGAGGAGAGGGGGGGGGGATATATCCAGTCTCTGATTGTGTTACGTTATTATGAGAGTGCTCTCATACTTGTTGGATTCTGAAATTGTATATATTTATATAAATATATGTGTGTGTGTATATATATGTCCGCATCTGTAGCCTGTTATCGTCTCATTATACCGCACTGTCAATGAATTAAAAGTAAATATATATAAGTGGTCATGAACACATCTGTCCATCAGAGTGCTGCTGTGCCTCCTGTCATCATTAATGGACGTCTCTTTAAAATGACCGCTCAGAGGAGAGGAGTTCTCATTTCTCTAACCGCCTGCTGCTTCCACTCCTCTCTCCTCGGTTCCCCTCCTCAGTCCTCCGCTCGCATCTCCTGTGGGCGGCACCAAGTCTCGAGGAGAGGAGTCGAGGATAGGAGTCGAGGAGGGGAAATTTGAGTATTGAGAAACCTCTCCTGTGTTTGTGTGAGTGTGTGTTGTTACCTTGGTGATGAGGACCTCCAGTCCTTCCTTCTTGGGGCAGATATCTTTAGCGGCATCGATCACCGTCCCTGTGGGCCCGCAGCAGTCCAGCTGCACACACACACACCATTTATTAGTCATTTATTCCTACAGCAGCACACACCCCTACTTTATATTTAAAGATGTGAGAAATCATTTATTTTCAGATCAACTGTTGTGTTGCTATTTTTACTTCAATAAAGTGTTTGGCTTCTTCTTCCACCACAAAACAAATAAACAAAGAAATGAACATGTATAAAACAAATTAATAAATATTGCTGCATGGCTTCTTTGTGCCAAAATATAGTGACTCCTAAATCTGCCTACCTATTGATACCATCAACCTATTCTGTAGAAATATAATTTCATACCATTAAATTACAGTACACCTAAGGTCCTGATAAAAAAGATTCGCAAGAACTTTCCAGAATAAAAAACATCCTTCTACATGATAGCAAAACTCTACAGCTCAAAAACGTAAGCCATTCTCGGGTGTAAATGTACGTGCGAGTACTCACTCCGAAGTGAATGAGACGCAGCGTCTCCTTCAGTGCTTCCTGTTTCGTGTCCTTGTAGTTGCTGTAGGTCTGCTTATAAAACTCTGTAACATCCTCTACCACCTTCAGACAGAGACAAAAGACAAAGAAACAGCAGAGTTCAATGACAACTCCACAGGCAAACAATGAAGTCTAAGAAAGGGTGTGTGCTGCTTGTTTACCCTGTCCTTGTTGGAGAGACCCCAGATCCCAGCAGCCACCTCCACAGCGAAGATGAGGAGCAGGAAGAAGAAGAACTACAAAATGAAAATAAGAGTTCAGTTTCTCAGCATTTTTGTGGACGCATAGGTGAAAGACATTCATACCATACCATACATTCAGCAGACACGTGAGTTTGACTGAACATTATGTTCAGTTTAACCAATTAAAATGTTCCACTGCTGATCAGAGAATAACTCACCAATCCCAGCATGCACGGTGACTCCTTCATGGCTCCGCAGCATCCCAGGAAGCCCACCACCATCATCAGAGCCCCCGCCGCAATCAGGATGTACACACCTGCACAACAAGATGCACAATATAAACCCTGCAGGGTACTTTTCCATAAACATTTCCACTTTTCTTTAAATAAACACTCTTATTGAGTGATGATATGGGCATGCTGATGAGATAATGAGTACAGCATATGTAACCTTGTTAGTGATCCAACACATACAGTACATACATACACATACTCTGACATCAAGGTACATCCAGAGAGCCGTTCCTGAGTTTTCTACTGAAGTCAGACAGACATTCAGGTTATGGAAGACCCCTTTCACGAGGATACCCATGTTTTTCTTCACACTTGCACATTGAAACCCCACCTGACTTTCTGTTGAAGTCATTTGCCAGGAATTCTCCAATTTGTAAAAAAAACAGGTTCTTGTTTTCTCTTCAAAAATGGTGGCATGCTGCTCTGATTTATCAAACGTACTATCTGTCAACCGTCACTTGACCTGAATGAGATTAGAGATTATGATGTCTAATCTAAAATCAGTTACACATTAACGCAAGAGATTTACTCAACTACTCTCATGCTACTTTCTATTTCTACTACCTATATATTTCAGAGGGAATTATTGGTACTATGATTTGTCGATAGTTTTTTTGCATCAAGTATTTTTACTTTAAGTACATTTTTCCGATTATACTTTTATAAATCTATACTACAATTTTAACATTTGTAATGCTTGAATTGACTTTCTTATAGAGTATTTACACTGTGGTATCAGTACTTCCACTTATCTAAATGGATGTTACTCTGCTAAACCCAGGCAGATACACAAGAGTCCATACTTTGTGTTTCTTTACTGCCCTGCCTCGGCATGTGTTTATGAATCATGTTCAGCCTTACATTTAATCAAACAAGTCATAAATGACTGTGGAAACATTGCCGAAGTCAAATTCCAAACATAAATTCTAAAAAGTGATTTTAATGCACATTTTTAAGACCCATTATCTTTAATGTGGCTTTCATAATGATGAATCATCAAAAAGACGTAGGAAAACAATAAGCAGCGTGCTGATGTCATGGGTTTACCACCACACAAATATGTGTCCTCCTAAGCTATCATTAAGATGTTTGTCATTTCTAAAAGAATCCTCTGTCGCCTCTCTGCCCACTTGACTTATCAGTTTGATGGAAACACAGAGAGAAGAAGGAGGAGGGCGAGAGTCTTTTTTTCTGAGTTCTTCAGAGAACAACAGTGGAGACACAAAGACGTGGCTGTGAGTGTGTGAAGAATGAAGCTATGTGAGGACGGGCGGACCCTGGCCTCAGCTGCACTCTGCTCGCTCTGCAGCGGGGGGGGTTTCTACAGTCAGCAAAGGTGCATCCTTCTGATACACACACCCACAAACAAAACCCCTTCCCGTTTACCCCGTAGTAGTGTAGGCTTTTTTTAGGACAAGGACAACTCACGATTGTATCTATAAAACATTGAAGGTACATTTTGTAGTGCCGAATTGCCCAAAAGGAAAGCCAGCTAGTTGTGAGTGGCATTGGTCCTTTATTGTTATTATTAAGCGCAGAGGATGTGTTGAAGTGGTCCAGATGAATAATATTATACCTACATACAGTGAGGTGCTAATCAGTTTGTAAAAAGCCTGAATATCTTTATTTGAATATCATGTACATGTAGGGTGGCCTGAGTTGATAGGAATATAGGATAGGCATATAAACGCATTATGCTTCTGCCTTTTTTGGGGTAAATACTTGCCTTTCACTCATTACTTTGTTTACACTAATCGTGTTGTGTGTGAAGACGGAATACAAATATAAAAGTGAGGGCTGCCACCATATCTAACCAAACCAGTGACAATGTACTTAGACCAAATTGTGTCTTCATGCACCCAGTCTCAAATGGTCCTAACATCGTGTGTCTCTCAACACTGGTTCATGTGTGGTAAAGTGAAGCTCGAGGGTCAAGCTTTCTCACTGTGATTGAGGAAATACTTTGATTTGATGCTCTGGCAATACAGCTGCAATGTTGTTCTACTAACTGAAAGATTATTATTGTAACCTGGGTGCAATTCTAAAGAAGGTCGTGTAATGTAAAGGCCTTACCGGTGAAGAAGACTGTAGGTGAGTTGTCTCCTGAAAACAGTCCCTCTGTCCTGGTGTCAAAACGCAGCCAGAGGCCCACAGCCAGCACCCCCGTACCTGCCAGCTGCATTCAAAAGAGAAAGAAACCTGTATTCAAATCTATATTCAGATCTTTCAACATCAAGTCAATGAGTGCGTTTCCTGCTGCATGAAGAACATCTTTAGATACAAAATCTGCTGTTAAACAATTCATACACTATTTAGCTATGCAGGAATAATAAAGACTATGGTTTACACTGGAGAAGGAGGGGATAAAAACTTACAAAGAAAGAAAGTCAAGAACACTTCACATTCATTCACATTTCCCTCCTTAACACACCCAGAAGAACCTGATCAACAAGCAGAACATTTGACCCTTAACCACAGTTACTAGACATATGTGGCTGAAGGCTTTATTATTAGAGGTTTTACTACATTTGCCACAGCCACCACATGCATAAAATGTGGATTAAACATTTTATTATATGATTTCCCATACATCAATCCAGAGCATTGGAATAATTAGTAAAAGACAGTGAAAAAAAATGTTATTGTTTGTGCGTCTCCCATAGTGTTCCCACAGTAATGGGGGATGACTCCTTAGCAACCACTAAACACAAGTTCAGCTCTTTGTTGACACCCAAATAACTTTTCCATCACATCCTCAGCGTACGGCTGACGTCCTGTTGTTGTGCAACTGGAGAGGGGACTGAGACAGAGTAGCCCGTGCTAACTTGTAGCATTGTGTCCCAACATGTCTGCCTTCCTGCTGCAGACTGATGACCAATTCATCATCACATGTGACTCCACGTCAGTGTGGGTAACAATTAGGGATACTGTGACATTGCTTATTTTTAACAGCTTACTTTTGATATTAGCTGCTCACTTCTTNTATATATATATACTTCCTGTAGCACTTTCCCTTGGCTGATCCAACACTGCAAATTCACCCTTTGTGTGACTAGTAAGGGATTATCTCAGTTTATAAAAGCGGTTATCTTATACAAACTACTGAATATTTGTTTCTAACTTGTTTTTTACTGCCTGTTAAGTGAATAATTCAAATCAGACACCACATAATGAACCAGACAGACAATGGGGTATTAGGGTCATTGTAGGTGTACAAATATTATTTAGTTATTTTATTAAATAAGGGGCCATTTGTAAATGTATTACTTTAATCCAAGATAATATCCATGTTTTTCTAGTACATTTGCATCTTGAACAGTAGGGAATGTATTAACTATGACCACAACTGCACTCCCAAATAAAGCCTCATTTATTGTAATACTCTAAGTATTTTTTGGCCAGTAAAGGCAAGCACTAAGTGAGGGTATACAAAATCAGTATCTGAAGAGACTCCCGAGACACTTTGTCATAAAACATGAAATCACAGAGCTTTTCAGGCTACACGTTCTGCTTGGTTGTCAGAAATATTTCTCAAGTGAATTGTATCCTTGTGTAAACCCAGCAGCAGTTAATGTACAGCACCATACTGAACCATCTTGTCACTATAATCATAATTGTAAATATTTAACAAAGAAATCCTCTGGCACTTCCAAGCTTAATGTGAGGTCCAGAGACCTTTGACCACCAAAGTCTAAATCAGTTCATTCTTGAGTAAAAGTTATGCCAAATGTGAAGAAATGTCCTTAAAGCGTTCATAAGATGTTCAGGAGTATGGGACTGACAACACAAAAACTGAAAAACAGATATGTAAACAGGAAATGTCCTGAATGATAAATGGATATTGGTGTTAAAGTGCAGTAAACCCTCTCAAGAGAGTTGTGTTTGTTTAGTCGAGGAACTAAGGAGCTGTCCTAAATATCCTGGAAGAATCAGCAGTTTCCCCTTGAGGTTAACATTATTAACACTCATTAAACACAAAAGGCACTCCGCAGCAACATTAGCCGCACAGGCAGCTTACAAGAGAGAAATTAATGATTGATAGCTTTCATAAGCCTCAAGAAATGTATCATAAAGCCAATACAGCCATAACACAGGTTCAACACTAAAGCAAAACTAGTTTCTTGTGAAGAAAAAAAAAAGAATCCCCCAGGACTTGTGGGAAATGTAGTTTTTTTTTCAGGACCAAGGAGCCCAATTTGTTTACAGTAAGAATTCCTTACCAACAGCCCAGTCATTACATGTTAGAATAAATAACCCCCTCTAATCTGATGTTTATGCCTCTCTGTGAATCAGACCTTCAGTTGTCATCTCATTTGTCCACGCAACTGCCGACTAGAAATGTCAAAACAGTCATTAAGCAAGGACTACAAGTCACTGTGTTATTCTAACACTGCAAACAGGTCATTAGAGTAATTATATAGAAAGCCATGTGGATATTTAGACAGAATTCTAACAAAACAAACGTTTCTGTTATGCATCCTCTGGGTGCATCAAGCAAGAACTTCCTCTGCGGAAGTCAAAACCCTCATTTTTGTTTTTAAGATCAGGACGAAATGGAATGTTAAACACATGAAAACAATAAGAGTCCAGTTATTCCTGATTAGCTGACTTGTATTTCAAATGGAAACTTGAAGGAATTTAGAAGTGGTGGAAAAAGCTTTGCTGCAATATCAAATTTCTTATTATAATTAAACCTCTATTAAAATAACATCTTAGTCATTTCATAAACAAACAAAGACTGGCTGCACCTGTATCTAGATATAATTAGACATTACTTAAAATAATAATGAAGAGGAAGCATGAGTAAAGCAGCTTCTGCATGAATGTTTCTTACTTTTAACTATTTTTAAGTCCTCCTATGAAACTGTATTAACAAAAAAAACTGGCTTGCTTGTACTCTGATCTGCTAAGCCATTAAAATGTAAGATTTGATATTTTCAAATATCTTTTCTGTGTTCAAAACCTAAAAGATAACAAGAGAAAAACATCTAAAATGACATTTTAAAAGCTTGCATGAGTGAATATTAGTAATAATATCCCAAAAATTTGATCATTTTGATAACTGCCTCATTCACCCTATTTTTTTGTAATTTTTCTTAAATAAAAATGTGTGTTAATACCAATGAATCCAATGTATACATTTCTGAAAGTGTTTGCTATAAAATCTGATCTACTTGTCCAAACACGGCTGATTACTCATTCGATAAGGAGGAGAATGTGTGTATCTCCATTGGCATCACCACATGCATTGTAATGTCATGACTGGCATTGTTTAGTCAGAGAACGCCTCAAATTTTCCAGTGACAACTTCCTGAGGCAACAATGAGGCTCAGAAGAGCAGGTGAATGCGTTTACCCAAACTAGTAGGATACTCTTCAAGCTAAAGTAAAATAGTTATATTCCTTAAGATTCTATTAATGAATTCACCTGCATTTTTTAAACATCAAAAAGGTTTTTAAGCTTGGAAGACCAGTAAGGCGAAAAAGACATTTCCTTTAGTTTTGAGTTTGATTAAAGTTGCCTAACATGCCTTTTTATCTAAATGTATCCTCAAAAAACTATTTCAACAATGCGGGACTAATAGAGCATTTCTGATTTATGAACTAGCAAACTCACACAAAAGCAGAAACAAACATCTGTCACCTGAAGCTCAAGCATTTAAAACGAATTTTCACTTCTCTTTTTTTTTTGAAATTCCCTGAAATCAGTTTAAGAAGCTACCAAATGCCTAAAAAAAACCGCTTAATCTGATCATGAGTCTCATGTTTCAACCACAGCCACCATTGTGTGAGTGATACATACCCAGAAGAGAAAGTTGAACACAAACACCAAGTATTTGATACACTGCAGTGCCCCCATGGCTCCGGGTTCAAGATTGAGAAGGTTTTTTGAAGAAGCAAAATCCAAAAGTGAGAGGTTTCTCTGTTCAGGCGGTAAACCGTGTTCTTTGTGGGCGGCAGCGACAGCACAGAGTGTAAAGAAGATTTTTGTTTGAACCACACCCTTGCATGGCTCACCTGGGTGTACTTAACAGGAAGCGAGGGGGCAGGGGAAAGTGGAGGGAGGAGATGAGGGGGAGGGATATCTGTTGCAGTGGATTTCACACAGAGTAAAATGAGAGCAGGTGAATGCAATTCAAAGAGCAGGGTGATTACTCTGCAGCATAAAGTCCAACAATGTTTTATCCAAAGCCACTTTCAAATTCAGAACAGCAAGAATCCTTTCGATACAACAGCTTTAAACCACAAAAGTTGCTTTTTATTATCATTGCTGTTAAGCTTGGGTGCACATGAATCGCGTATGAACAATAAGTAAATCAGACTCGGTATTCTCTTCAGCATGTCTCCGGTAAGTTTATTCACAGACTGACAACAGTCAACGTAGTGACGTCACATTAGGACGTACCTAGTCAATGTAGTGACGTCACATTAGGACGTACCTTCATACAAGAACAGAATAACAGTGCGACTGCTACCGTAGTACACAGACTAAGGGCGTCATCAAATAATAATACTTAACACCCCCACTCGCTCTTAGCTTACTGGGTTACCTGAGAACAAAACAAAATAAGGCTTCTTTTTCTTTTACCTTAACTATGTTAACTCTTTGCCCTTCTAGGTGCCAAACATATCCTGAGCAAACCTCTTTAGCTTTATTTTGGTGGCTGGTTTTGTCATCACATCAGCTGTGGGTGAGAATGTCTCATCATAGTTGATTCCTGGTTTCTGACTGTAGCCTTTAGCTACAAATCGCGCCTTGTACTTGTCTGACCCATCAATGTCACTCTTGAGTGCGTAGACCCATCTACCCCCCACTACCCGTTTGCCTGGTGGCAATTGGGTGAGGTTGAAGGTCTCGTTCTCCTCCAGTGATCTCATCTCCTCGTTCATGGCATTTTTCCACTGCCTTGATTTGGGTGACGCTATGGCGTCCTGGAAGGTTTGAGGAATGTCGCATACTGCTCTGTAACAAAAATCCATGCATGTTTGCAGTTTGTCCTCCGTATCGTCAGTCTCAAACTCCTGTAGGTGAGCTGGTCTCCTCCTGGTTCTGGGTGGGTTTTTTCTGTTTGGAGTCGGTGACTTTACCCGGCTGTGTACGTTCAGTCTGTTCAGGTAAAGTCCCAGAAGCACCACTTTGAGTATCTTGACCTGGCACATTTCCCACATCACATTCATCAACAACATTTTCATCGCTGTCTTGACCCTGGGATGTACATCACTATCACCATATTCATTGTATGACTCTGGTGTTTGTGTTTCCTTTTCTTTATCCCCCTTTGTTGTGAATTTTACCAATCCTGTGCTTTTGGACCCTCTCTGTGTCTGGATAATACACCAGGTAAGCTGGGCTATTTTATCATAGCCTATGAAAACACCTTGCTCACACCTAGGGTCGAGCGTTTCCCTTCTCTTGTTTGTAAGCAAAACACACTGACCCAAATTTCTGAAGTTTGATATATTTGGTTCTTTGCCTGTGAACAGCTCGTATGGCGTTTTCTTGTGCGCCTACTGTAACACCTGTTCCCTTACATAAGAGCTGGCTGTCTGTATGGCGTATAGTTCCATAGTTTATTTGGTAACTTGCTTTCTATCAGTAAGCATCTGGCCCATATCATAGAGAGTTCGCCAACCTCTCCTCTGCTGTACCATTTTGGTGGGGGTGAATAGGGTGCAGACGTCTCGTGTCTAATCCTATTTTTGGGTTAACAGTGTGCCTGGAAGTCTCGGCTTGTAAACTCAGTGCGTTATCTGAACGGATACACCTTAACTTCTCCGTAAGGGGGCTATGTCTGCTAAGAACCTTTCTGGGCCCTGCACGTGTATCAACTCTTGGACCTTAGAAAAATATACAAAAAATAGTACCAGAGTAGTCGTCTCTGTAAAAGACTGTGTATATCTGTGCCCTTCTAGGCTTGGGTGTTGCATGGAACCGGCTAAGTCTTGTGGACTAGTTCTAAAGGGCATCTTAAGCCTTTTTGTCTGGCTCCCGCTATTTCTCGTTTGGTGAACTTGCCCTGTGTACACCACTTCCACACAACTGAGCTGGTTTGACTGGACTTCCCTCTTATCTCATGCCTTTCACTACACCTTGTAAATTTTGTACATCTTCGTAATTGCAATGACCCCAAAATTTCCATGGCCAAGTTTCATGTGCGTGACACCCTTCTACCATTGGTCAACATTCCCCCTTCAAACCAGTTGGTAAGTAATACAAATGTACACCTTCATGGATGTCAAACCTTCTGCGCCGTCTTTGTTAACCATGTGACTGCTGTCCGCCTTTTTGAAGGTGATTGTCGCCCCTCCGTTTGTTGCTCTTGCCAGCACGAAAAAGATGTCATGTGGGTAATGAGGCCATGTACAGTGCATCCCGTACGCTGTGCGTCTGTGTTGTCGTCCGGCGTCCGTCTAATAGACCATAGATTCACCGCCGTATCCTCTTCTCTGTGCTGTTACATTGCACTTTTGCTTGGTCCGTCACCTGAACTCCACCTGAATGGACTCAGGGCTCGCAGTGAATGTCGTCGAAGCGTCCAACTGACCGATGTCGTTCACGATGTGGAATGTCGCTCCTCGTCATCATGTGTTCGTTCATTAACGTGACCGATGGTTCTCGCGCTTTGTGCACTTGGCCTGCAGCTGGTGCCGCGATGCTAGACTACGCGATTGGCCGCGGTGGCCACCTCAGCGGCCACACACATGAGTCCGAACGAGGAGGACTCTTTCATCCATCTCCACGGGAGTGTCGTGCCTGGTGGCTTTTCCCCGCGGTCCTCTGTATTGTTGTTTGGCTATCGCGCCGGGCAGAGGAGAACTGCTGCGGATCCCACCTTGTCAGAGCCATCTTTCAACGGTTTCACGACCCTTGCTTCCTCTTCCTGCACGAGTCTCTTTCTGCGCCTACGTTCCCTTTATAATGTGCACTTTCGTCCGACCATCGCTTCTCGTGCCGGTATTTAGCCTTATGTATGTTGCTGATACAGAGTGAGCCCGCTTGGGTCTCGATCATGCTTGCGTGTCAATACACCCGTACTCGCATGTAATTGCAGTACCGCACCGCACACCCGCCGTATATATCCGAGGAAGAGCGGCTCTGTGATATCCGTGTCCGTGTCCTCATTAACCGTCCACACAGACCATGGTCGCTAGCTCGATTTCAGAACGGACAGTCTACAGCCACCTGGCGGCGAGCGCCGCGGCATCACTGCGCTAACTGGGTGGCTCATGCTGCTCATACGCCACAGGTTTCTCTCGCGCCTAGACACTCCGCCCGTTCGCTGGCTCTTCCCCTCTTTCGCTCGCCCTACTGAGGGAATCCTGTAGTTTTTTCTCCGTCCGTAAGGTTCACATGTGTTTAAACATCATGTCGCGAGCTTATTTATCTCTGTGATCTGATCGAGCTGCGTGTGTGTTCGCATGTGGAGCCGCCTCCACCGTGAGGACGTGTCCATCAGACGCCTCCCCCTCCCCCCGAGAGAGAGAGAGAGGAGAGAGTGCATCAGCGCCGCTTCCCCTAATCTGGTGCTTCCCGTCTCGTCAGACGAATGTTCTGTGAAGCGTAACGTTGGGTTCGCCTTGCGTATCTCGCGAATCTACAAACAGCGTATGCGCTGGCACCCCCTCTCACCCAGAAGACACCCGAAGGCGTCTCGAGAGACTAACTGGTGCACAAGGCGGCAGGCGGGGCATGCTGACGGAGAACTAGTAAAGTCCACCGCGCGTATGCGGTGCGCGCGACGCACACGCGCCAGGTCACACACCACAGTACGGTGGGCCTGTCGACGCGACTCTCTGGGACACCGTGCCAGAGTGAGGCTGCTAATGCCACGTGTATACGCAGGAGTGGCGCTATCACCAGTGGGGCCGACCGTACCACTCGCGAGCATCCGGTTGTCCGGCCATGGTAGCTATCGTG